TGATAAAAGAGTAAATTAGTTGATGGAATTAGTTAGGAAAACGTTCAGCTTAAAGTAATAGAAGAAATAGAATAAATAATATCTCTTCTTTTTAATCCCAATTAATCTGTTAAATTCGTAATAAAATCCTCATTAATTAATCAACAATGCCGTAGGCTAATTCACATTAATAAACTATTTTTGTAAATAGTCACGTGATAAACTCCAAATGTGTTTATTGGCTTTAATAGCAAAGTGGCTACTTTTGCTCTTTCTTAATATTGAAGCAATCTTTTGTTCTGAAAACAAAGCAATCCATTAAGGGTAAAATTCTAGATGGTCATTTATAGCAGTATCAGCCAAAAATGAACAGCCGTGTCTTTTATATGTTGCTTAGTAAGTTGCCTAATTTAATCGAGAACTTACGAATCAATTCAAGTAAATGTTCTTTATAGAAATCCTAATGATATACCGATCGACGGCTAACTTACTCTTTAATTTTTATCCTGAAAATGCTTCTCTAGACCTACCAAAAAGTGGTGTTGAAACCAAAGGAATAGAAAATAAAATACTCTTGAAGAATGTCTCATTAGGGCAAGATGGATATCTCATCGGTTGGGAATTTATTAGGAGTAATGATCTGGAGTGTAGTCTTGGTAATTATTAATATTTAATAATTGGCGACTGCTGTCCATTTTAAGATATACTTTCTTCATTCATTCAGGTATTTGGAGAGAGCAAAATGATGGCAAATATAGTCTAATTAGCTCAACTTCCGTACCATCTGGAAACTTGAATAATATAACATCTTTCCTAGTTGATGTAATAACAAAAGTTGAAAAGAATGATGTAATTGGTGTACAACCAAAGAGTCAGTTTACATGCATATCATACTTGTCAAATGTTGAACGATTTGGGAGCCTATATCCTTTTTCAATTGTATCTATTTCGGATACTGCTTCGTTTAACAAGGAAAGGGTTTTATTTAGAGATTTATCGAGATATAGTTATCATTTCATATCTGCTGCGATTATAAACGAAAATCTATTGATAATAGGTAAAAAGAAAGAAAAGAGACGCCGCTATTATTTATTAAATATTATATAAAAGTTTCTTCAAATACAGCCTCCGTTGAGGGAGAAAATGTAGATGAGATTTTGGACGCTGACTCGTTAAGGTATTCGCTACCTTCCGATGCATATTTCCGAGAGTTTATAATTAGATTGGAAGATTGCGCCCAGATCGAAGGTATCGTCATAAGTACTTTTGAAACATTGCCGTCGCCTCTTCTAGTATATGTAAATAACGGACCATTAGATTATTGGAATTTGTCATTGTGTTTAGAGGCAACGAAAGATTATATAAAGACATTTGAAAAGTATCATTATTCACTTAACTGTTCTTCTCCAATTGTTGGTAATTCTGTTGTGATTAAATCACAGCAAGAATTTACATTTATAGATATTTATGTTATAGGCTATAGTAACTGTTATGAAAACTTTATACTCTATCCAACTAGCGATAAACTTTTAGGCTTTTACGCATCAGATAAGTTATGCAATCGGTTTGTTGAATGTTTTGACGTATGCAATAATTTATTGAATTGTACTAGTGTTGTTGCTAACAATATGTCCTCTTTTTCGTTATACTTTAAAGAGAAAGATAATAATCAATTGATTGTCGCTAATGGGTCCTTTACTTTTCATAAAACATGCTCACTAGACATAAATAAATGTTAGAAAGGAAGAAAAGTGAATGTTTTACTTATAAAAGTCTATAAATATTAATTATTAATGAATAAATTACTTCAACTAGAGTAAATGAGTGCAAGAGCTGCTGACTTGAACTAAAGGGTCTTCATTCATATTAGCTGTGAGAAGAAACGTTTAATTTTACTCTGTATTAAGATATACTGTATTATTTCACTCGACTACAAATCACAAAACACAACTGGGCCGGATGGCCATTGAATTGGTACAATTTGCGTTTCTCTTCACCTTGTTGTACTGGGCAACGTGTTTGCTTAAATAGAATAATGTACTCCATACTTAACAATATAAATTTCATTAATTAATAAATATTAAAGTAACAATGTAAACTTTCTTCTGTTTGGCTCTACTAAACAAATGATTTAAGATGTCTTTGTCACGATAGAAGAGTAATGCGGCAGCTTGTACACATACACTATAAGTAGAAGTCTTGTTAGACTTTAGGTGATTTCTTAATCTAGTTTTAGGTCATAAGTCACTTTATTCAATAAAAATAAATGAATCATCAATATTTAGTTAAAAGGCCAAGCAATATGGAGAAAAAAAGAAACGTACCTTTGGCCTGTTACAGAAGTAAAACCTTAAAATGTTTTTTGCATATTTACATAACCGCTTCTGTGTTTAACAACTGGTTTAACAGATAAATAAGGAAAGGTTTTTAAACTGAGACTGTTAGCAGCGTCTACGAGAATGAGCAGTCTTACACAAGAGGAGAATACTCGGGATATAATTGAAAGTTTAAAGCGTCTAGTGAAAGAGTTTATTCGTACGAACTTGAAGGATGTTGAAGGATTGCCTTTCAGCGAAAGGAGAATGTTTTTTCATAATATTTATACGTCTGTAACTGTTTCAAAAGTCTTTTCGGATAGATTAGAATACTTAAAGGATTCTACGTCCTTTCTATCAGAGTTAATTGCGGAAAACAAAAGAATTCTATTAAGAGGTAAAACCGGAATCGGTAAGAGTTTTCACATTCGAAAAATACTCTTACTATACGCTACAGATGAGTTTCTTAGCGACTATCTTATACTTAAATTAGATTTATCTCTAATTAAGCGGAAAGAAACAATGATTGATTCGTTAATTCAACAAAATTTTCCAAGTCAAGTTAGGCAAGAGCCAAAGTTAAAAGATGATTTAGTGACAATATTCCAATGTCAAAATAATGATAGCCAACGTAAAATAATACTCTTTTGCGATCATATAGACGAACTACGAAACGAGGAGAACGAAATTTATCATATAATTCATAATAAACATGACTACTACTATCCTATTGTTGTTTGGGCTAGGAATAAAGCTGCTGTTGAAATATCAGACAATTTTCAGCATATTTTCGAAATATTTGGATTTAAAGAAGATCAACTATTGGATTTTACTAATAGGATTATCCCTTATGTAGGCAATTCAAATAGCGGAGAAAAGAATAGAATTATAGAGTATTATGATGAGAGTAAACAATTTCTTAGTCAGCTTAAACAATATAAAGATATATTTAAAGCTTGTTCTACACCTCTAATAGCCTTTATAGTTGTTAATATATGGATAAATAGGGGCCTTCAATACGTTTCTCAGTTAAATTTGATATATAATGAGATTTTTGATTACATATGGGAAAAGAAGAACTTAAATGTGACAAACTGTACCAAAGAGAAAATACTATCCTATTGCAACAAAGTAGCATTTGAAAAAATGGCTTATAATAAACCAATTCTTTACAATTCGATACTGGATGGATCCAACCATTTTGGTGGACTATTGGTAGTTAAAGATGAATATTTTCATTTAGAAGAGTTAACCTTTTCCTATGGAATATTTTACGAATATTTTTGCGCACAATATATTATAAAAAATGGCTTTTCCAACTCGAATTCTACATTTTTACTATCGGAGAAAAACATCTATAAACTCTTAAATTCTCTTCTACTTATTAGATCATTAAATTTACCAGTTTATACAGATATATGCGCTCAATATCCGGTTGTGTTGAAACATTGCGAACAACTATCTTCAACGGTTATTGACCTGTTAAAAAATGGATTAACAAATAAAGAAATTCGTAACGAAAGACTAAACAATATCGCTTTGGCAGTTTTATTATCTAATACTAAAATTTCACTAACAAAACTATTATTCTTTAATGTAGACTTTAACTTTTCATATTTTATTGAACTCTATACGAATTCTTATCATATAGGTAATTTGTTAGAATTGGAATTAATTAGTGGATTAAAATCTCCAATTAACTTTGGAGATTTACAGAAATTACTACAAAACTCTCCAAATATGAAGAAATGTACTATAATTGATAATATGATTACAACAGAGAATTGTAAATATGCTACTACTTCGATTGAAGAACAAATCATCTTTAATAATTGTTTCCTCAGTTCTTCTAATATAAAAGTTATTGCGAAATTAGCTAGTAATCAGAGGTTTTTGAAAAAGCTTGATCTCTCAAATAACATTCTAACTGGTTTGTAAATATTCTATATATGATTATTGCGCAATCGTCAACTAAATAGGAGAAATTTTGATATTTTCAGATGAAAGTATGGAATATTTATCCGAAGAATTCAAATTGAATGGAAATATTTATTTAGAAGAGCTTATTTTATACAATTGTGAAATCAGTTCATCTTCTTTCCAAAGATTTCTGACAGTATTTTGCCATTTCAACGATTTGAAAGTATTAAATATTGGAGGTAATATGATAAAGAATGACGGAATGAAAATGTTATTTTATACTTTGGCCAATACAAATCAAAGGAATTTAAGAGAATTTCACGCTGAAAATTGTAATGTAACAACTATTGATAAATCGGCTATAAAAACATTTCTCTCCTCTCAAACTCATTTATTGACATTGAATTTTGGTGGCAATAATTTACAGTACGAAACAACAAAGACAATTTTAGTATATCTATGTCAATTGGTAACAATTAGAGAGATAATGTTAAATTTTAACGATGAATATTCGTTAGAAATGAAGAAAAGTTTACAAAGGAATCTAATGAAATTTTCATTTTTAACCAACATAAAATTCTCGAATATTTCACTTACAAAGTTTTTCTTATTAAAGCATTTAAACAATTTAAAAGAATTATACTGTAAAGATTGCAATTTTGAATGTTTTATTGCAAAATTCAATATGAAACATTGTTTTAAAATTCTTTCAAAGTTGAAAGTATTGAATATTAGAAATTGTTCAAATTACGATGAATTTTTAACAAATCTAATTAAATATTATAATTTTTCACTTGAAAAATTAATCATTAAAAACTCTAATAAAAATTACAATCAACTTCCGAGTTGTATCGAAGAATGTTACAATATGAATAAGCTAAGAGAGTTGGATCTATCAGATAATTCATTTGGAAATTCATCGGTACTTGGTTTATTGCGAACCATTTCAAAGTTCAAAGATAACGTTTTATCAAAGATCTATCTTCAGAATAGCGAATTGAATGAGGAATTTTTGTGCGAATTTCGTCAAATTATTAATCGACTATCTCATCTGTCAGTTTTGGATATTTCCTATAATACATTTGGTGATGAAGCTATTAAGCATTTTATCGAATCATTCCATCAAAAGTCAATGATACTTCAATTAGAAGAGCTCTACATTTATCAGTGTAAAATATCCGTTGATTGCCTAAGACCAATGATTTTATACTTACTAACTATTCCATCGTTAAGAGTGCTCAATTCGAAAAAATCAACATCAGATATTGAATGGTTCAATAGATTAGAGCAGTACGAATGTTTTAAAGCCGTAGACGATATTGACGAGGAAGTTTTTAATTTGTATAAACTTCGAAAAATACAGTCTGAATTGAAAGTAATCATACAAGACAAATTCCTAAAGATTACGAAAACAGTTAAAGTATGCTATCTAAATAAATTCATTCAAGTTTTAGCGGAAGGTAACTTTCCAATACAAGATGTAAGAATACACAATAATCTTTTAACTGACCAACTAATAAACAATCTACAAAAGTTAGATTTTAATGAAAGAGAATCAAACATATTTGAACTTTCTAAGGTATTCATTAAAGAAAATAAAGAAATTGATGAAATATTTAAAAAGATGCCCGAACTAGGAAGGATAAGATTTTCTAGACAGAATTTTTCACCAAACATCTGGAAGAATATCTTCAATTCTATTTCTGAGAATTGTCATAATTTACGTAAAGTGATAGTTGTTGAATGTAATACTGGTATTGAAATTTCTACCACTATGTCAAAGCTTTTATTGAATAATCAACTCGTAATAGTAATCGACTTTAGAGGAGTTTTCGTAGAAAGATCAATTTTAGAGGCGTTAGAAAATTGTAACCGAATAAGGGAATTATACCTCTGGAATTGTTCAATATCTTCAAATAATGCATATTTTCTTGGAAAAGCGCTTAATAATAAACACAACCTTTCAATTCTTGATGTGGGAAGAAACGATTTAGAGGTCAAAGGTGGAGAATATCTGTTAGCAGCAATAAGGAAAAGTTGTCATTCTATTACTCGTATTAGTTTAAGAAAATGTGGTTTTAATTCTAAAATTATTGATTATATCGGTGAAACGATTGCAGTTTTAAAGCATTTAGAAGTGTTAGATATCAGCGAAAACGATTTTGGAGGAAAGTTTACCACTGCTATTCTTTCTAAAAGAATTTTTAACAATAATACCAATATACAAAAGCTTTATCTAAGCGATTAAGACAATGAATTTGGATCAATTCTATCATCTTTTATAGGATATCAGAAATATTTGAAGGTCATTCAATAGAAGATTTGGATTTCAATTTCTCTTGTAACTAATTTGGTGAGAGATTAGTGAATAGTTTAATGGAAAAGCGTTCAAAGAATAACCTTAGAGTCGTTTTTAATATCAAAAAGTGACGCTACAGAAGGCTTTTTATTACAGTTTCTATTTACTATAAATAAAGTCTAAAACAATGTAATTTAGTTTTTCGTTTCTTTGTCTATTAATTTAGGTATCAATCAATGAAATATAGAAATGTATTAAATAAAATTTTGTATACGATTCTCTATATCTATTGAAAAATATCATAAAAACATCAGTAACAAAGGAAAAGTGATCAATATTGACTTTTGCATTTTATTTAAACAAAGTAAATGACTCTGTCTCTGTTTTTTTTACCGCTTAATGATGTCGGCATTTTGCATTCTATATTAATATTTAATCTGAGAAACGCTTACATTTAATTAAATATCTATTCAGTAATTATTGTTCTTTTTTTTTATCTCATTATACCTCGTTTAATCGATCGTTTCCTATAAATGTTCCCTTCGTCTTTCTTTCTTTTTTTTCCTGATTTGGCAATAAATCCTGAAAAGCTTATTAAGTCGATCGAATGAAGAATTGATTTGTCATTTCACGAGACTTTTCCACATAAGCATAACAATATCATTTCTTTTATTGAGATCAACTACCACACTCATGTCAACTCTGATTAGATTTTCTCTTTTATCAGCTCTATTACTAGACTGGATGATTAAAGTTGGATAGAATGGTAGCGATGACGATTCTTTCAGTGTTTGCTATTTTCAATGGTTAACTTAAAAAATAGTAATTTCACTTATTTCGTATACTAAAGAGTTTTTACTGTCGATAGCGGCTCTTCTTAACTACTCAGCAGTCGACTGTTTCGTAGGAGTTTATCCAAAATTACCGAGTGAAGATGATATGCAAAACGTTAATCTGACAGCTGGAGGGAGCTGGCTGAATGTACTCTATCAAGTAGATTATCTCTTTCAAGATGATGGAATTCTAATTGGATGGTATTTGATAAAAATCATACCGGACGGCTGCCATTTAGGTTTCGACTAATTATTTAGGTTAAAAACGTATTATTTAAGTTGGGAAAATTTATTTTAGATGTTTGGAAAAAAAAAAATGATAAGTTTACTTTGAAGAGCTCAACTAAAGTTCCAAAAGGAGGAAATATTAAAAAATATTCACTCCTCTTACTTGAAAATCCAATTTCTATTAAGAAAGAATGGCTTATTGGTCTTCATCCTTTATCTGGCAAGCAACAATGTATAGCCTACACAACAAATAATATATTATTCAAAGAGTCGGATAGATACGTAATAGAAAACAACAGATCTTTCACTATAAACTCTACTTACAAAATGAGATCTGGAGCGAAGAGATACTATTTTATGCATCCTATAGTTGTTCACGGAGATTTGGGAACAATAGGTCTGTTATCTTTTATCTTGATGAATTTCTTTTAATAGAGACTCTATTATTTTCAATTTTAGTTTCTGGTAGAGGAAACGGATATGATGATATCTTAGAAACTGATAGACAGAGATATACTTTAATAAAGGAAAATGATAGATCGTTTACATATTTCCTTATAGAATTAAAGTCGTATTATTACATTGACAGCGTTATAGTACATAGGAAAAGAAATGAGGATATATTGAATGTTCATTTGATCAATGATTTAGAGATAAAGTCCGTCAACTCTTCATGCGATTTTTCTTATCAATTTAATAACGAATCGAAAGAAATAATTCAAGTATTTAATTGTTCCGGTTTACGAGGAAAGTTGGTTATTTTAGAAAACGTTAAGGGATTTACATTTTGCAATATATTTATTCAAGTTAGAAATATTAATGAATATTCAAGACTATCAAAAATCAGTGAATTTTCTAATACGGAAGGTAATAGTAAATCGTGTAATTCGTTTATAGCTTGTTCAAAAGAATGCGAACTTAATAAATCTTGCGTTGGATTTTCAATTGAGGATACAAACTACAAATTATATTTTAATACTGCAATAACCAACCGTAGTTTAGATATACCCAGCAATATTGATTATTTTAAGAAAAAATCAACAAAATTTGACAGCAAATGTTAAACTTTTCTTTCTATATATTTTATAATTTTACTTTATGGAAAGTAAATAAAACTGTTTTTCTGCTATGAATAATTTATGTTGATGCGTAAATATATCAATAAAAATCTGATAATAAATGCTCAAATTGCACAGTTAACAACGTGAGAAAAAACCATCGAATGTTGATTAAACAACTTTCACTCATTAGTTGAAATAAGCTAATTGAATATGAAAATATAAGTACAATGAATTTTATAACCAATACATCCGATATTTTCGTATTATTTAAAATTATTTCATCATCCAGATAAAATAACTCCGCCCCGCTTATGGTTATTCACTCTCTCCGAGAAACGATATTATATCAACTAGCTGACATAATGCTGACTATAACTATCAATATTGAACATTTGGCAATGAGTGCTGTTAATACTTCCCTTTTCCCAAATCTTAAAACAAAAAGTATATGCCCCAGGTGAGGATCGAACTCACAACCTCCGCATGGCCAGTACTACTCTTATAAGTACGGCGCGCTAACCGATTGCGCCACTGGGGCTTACGATTCAAATCTTCAGATGTAATCAGTTTTACATTCAAATTTGCCACATTTTCCCAAACCGTAAAATTTGAATTGAATGATAGCTGTAAAAATCAATAAAACGATGATGAATATTTTCCATATTTGGTATGATTTGATGGGTTATTAAACCTTCTCGAATATTTTTGTGGTTTTTACGCTGTCTTTTCCACAAAATACGGATATATATATAAGAGTTAACAACTTTAATTCACATGTACGTTGATAAATTTAGCAGCATGAAGAGAATTTCACTGATTGTCGGCTTTAGTTTAATCTGTTACTTTAATGGAAGTGAAATGAATTGTTCTTTAAGGAATTTTTTATCGAGGAGACAAAGTATGTGAAAAGTTAATTATAAATCATTTAATTGTTTTTTAATGTTTACTTTCATCTCTCCCTTGTCTAGCTGGATTAGGTAAGTCTTTCAACTTCAAAGCAACAGTTACTGGCAATTTATTCGTAATGCAAACTGTTAATCCAACAATACAAAATATGATTCCTGGAGTAAAATATCTGTGCTATAATGCAAAGCATGTTTTTAAAGAGATAATAGTTATTTTTAAGGAATACGATACAAATACAATATTATATGGAATATCAGAGAAAAATCATCATTATATTACAAAAATGCTCTTTCAAATTTTATCAATAAACGCTAAGATAACTTTGGAAGGAATATACTTTTCAACTAGTCATATCTACGAATGGAAATCAAAACCTTCTGTTAGAAGGATAAGCAACTTTTTCTTCTTGAAATTAAAGAATAAAATTGTGTTCTACTTTGATAAACAACAACTAATAATCTCAATTTCCAAGACGAAAATTGCTAATAAACACTTTCTTAATACTCATATTAGTAAGGATGTGTCAGATTTTTCAAAATTGGGTGGAGTAATAAGCGTCATTGGAAAATCTAAAGTATTACATACGCCTGGAAACCTACCGAGGAAAGAAATGCAAAGGATATTCAAGAATAAGCATGATCATTGCATGTATGTTCATATTAGTCCATTTCGTTCCTTCCTACTAAAGAGAATATTGGTGGACTGACGTAATTTTTAACTCAATGTCAAATTGTTGAGTAATAGGTTCTGATGATGAAAGAAATTTTCAATTGTAAACCGATTGTTCACGTTTCAATTAGTCATAATAATGTTCACGTGACAATTTTACTAATTCTTATCTAATCATATGAAACGATACAATTATTATTCAGCTTTATTTCGAGATTTTAAAAGATTTTCAACTAGTTCTGCAACAATCATAATATCTTTCTTCATATCCTTTTCATTTTTCGCAAATACGGTATTCTTCAATAAAATGGAGCACGAAATCTTTTTATTCATTTCCTAAAAATATGAAAATATTATGCAATTACAAAGAAGAGATAATTGAAAATTATTACTCTATAAACAATACATTTATTATCATTTTTATCAATCATAAAATTAAAGCCATGTATTAAATCCAAAGCGATTGCCAGATCTTTAAATATGGCAAGAACATTGACAATTCCAATATGGCGTTTGACGGTTGTAAATTGCCACTTTTTGAATGGGCAATTATCAAATATTATCTTTTTTTTATTAGAACTTTTAAAGAATAGAGTATCTTTAATGGAGAAATGAAAATATATCAAGTTATTATCTCTGTTGTTAACCAATCAAAACGTACAATTGTCCTTTTGAGTCTTACGAAGATCTTCTAAAGCTTGTCTCCTATTTGAAGGAACGAAAACGAAGATATAGTTGAAAGTTTTGTTTACAACTTACAAATGGGTTTCTCCTTTAAGTTTTAGACGCTTTACTATTGCTAAAATTTCACCACCAGAATAAAATAATGGATTTAAGACGCTATTTAACGGAATAAGAAATAGGGCAATCCAACGATATAATGATTTCTCAAGAACAATATTGTTGTTCATTGATATAAGACCTATATATAGTATATACAGTATATAAATATATAATACGCTATCGTCAATTTTATTACCAAGGATTGATACGGGAAACCAACAAGCCATATTACTCATTGTAATAATAAACGCGGAACTAGCAATTTTTCTCACTCGTTTCATAAATTGATTCTTATCAGTGATTGATTTCGATTGAAAAACAACTCTAATCATTCCAATGTATAACATTGAAATTGCTATACAACAAAACAATGTAAACAATCCAAAAAATGCAAAAGAATACTGCCAACCATCGAACTTTTCGTTTGTTATATGCAAAGAAAAACAGACTGCAGTACTTGAATAATAATTCTTCAAATAGATGAAAATAGACTATTAATACGAATTGGTTTTAAAGTTTAGTTATAGTTTAATACTTTAAAGATGTATATTGGTAGAATAGATGAAATAGTGGTAAATATGGTACAAATGAATAAGAGGAAAACGAATGATTTATTAGTGGTTACACCGCTGAATGGATGACAAATTCCAAAATATCGATTAACAGTTATAAATGTTAATGAAATATTTGACATAAGCACTGATATACTGGCCAATATTCCCAATAGATTACACATCCAACTATGTCGCCATTTTGAATCATTTTGTATGTAGATACCTTGGTAATAGCTGTCAGTTATTGCTATAGATACTAGATATATTATAAACGACATGTCGGATATATTTAAGACTAAATGGTACAGGTGATATGTTTTTGAAAAGGCTTTGATTTGAAGGATGAAAGCAATAGTATTCCCAATAAAACCAAAGAAAACAATTATCCATACTATTAATCTTAATGATTTAACGCCAATAAGATCAGTGCAACTCTTAAATATCGATGACTTCGGAACGCAACTAATTAACTTTAAATTCCATTTTTTAGCTATACAACATAATTCAAAACTAATTGAAGAGAAGTATTTCAAATTCTTCAACTGTTTTATAGATTCCATTAGAGTTTCATATTCAAAATCCGTTTTATTCAATTCAATAATCTCAATTTGAGTTAGTGACGAAAAGACATTTTGATGAATAGAAGAAAGATAACATTTACTTATTTTCAATATTGTTAAATTAGTAAAACGACGAAATACAAGATCACTCAGATGTTTTATCTTTGTATTTGATAAATCTAAATATAGTAAATTGTCAAATAAGAAACTTTCTTTATTAATATCCCTAAAGGGATTATTTCTCAATATAAGAATTTGTAGTTTTTTCATAGGTTTCCTCTCTAAAGATGAAATATTTTCAATTCTATTTTCTTCAACATTCAAATAAACTAGATTGGTAAATAATACTTTTGATAAATCCGTTATAAAACCATTTATCACTTCTAAACTTGTTATATAATACGAATATTTCAAATTAATGATATGTTCATTAGACATTCCAGTTATTTTCAGATAATTAATACGTTGTTTAAAATTATTCATTTTTGATGTTGTCTTGTTCAATTTACAAGAAATAATTGATTTTAACTGACAATTACAATGTTTTAAACAATATTCCTTAGGATTTTCAAAGCAAAATGATTCGTCGTTACTGTGTAAACAATTCACTTTTCCATCGCAAATCTGACTTTGATTTATATAAGTATTTTGAAATCGACATTTAAAAAAGCCTTTAGGCATAAATTGATCTAAAAGTCGAGGAGAAATAGAAAAAGTAGACGCTCTTCTTATTAAAACTAAACATTTTTAAAGACAAAACTAACCGCACATAACTTCATCTTCATTGTTTAAACAATGATTTATACCATCGCAAACGTTTTGAATAGGTATGCATATTTTATGCTCTTGACACTTGAATTCTCCGTAAGAACATCTATCGACTTGACAATTTTCAATATCATTGAAAGGATAATGAGATTTTGTTTTTAAATTTCCAAGAGTGTCGTATCTAATTCGGCATTTTGAATCGTTTTCACGGGAAATATTAAAGAAAGCTTTTGAGAATATCTGCTTAAATTTCGCTTTCTTACAAAATGAATTATCTGATCTGCATGGGCCAAAACAAATAAGGTTTATTAGCTTATTGTTTTATTATTAAGAATAATAAGTAAACGGTAGTGTCTGCAAGTAATTTGTAATCTTTGTTGAACATATTTGAGGATTTTCATCAACGGGAGGAATAGCTTCGCAATCCGTTTTTAAATCACACATTCTACTCTGTTCTAAACATCTTCCTTTGCAAAAGGCCGTTGAACAATTATCTATTTTGACATACAAGCTAAACGTAACAGATAATAGATAACATAAAAAAACTATCTACTGCAGTAGTGATAATATACTGTATAATTATAACAAGCTACCTATATACAATATGTCAATACGCAGTACATACCTTCACATAATTCGTCTGAAGAATCGAAACAATTTCGTTCATTGTTACAACGTCCATTGTTAGAAATACATTGTCCATTTTTGCATTGAAATCTAATTGAAGAACATGTTTAATTATCATATTTTTTCAATTTGAATAAATTTTACGAGTTTTCTTCGTGACATTGAAATTCTTATGAAATACGAAAAAATCATCATCATTTTATAAATATACTGTATATTTACTATATAATTTAATTATTTACCGCAATCTACTTCGTCACTTTTGTCTAAACAATCTGGAATATTATTACAGACATTCATCAATGAAATTCTCTGACCATTATAGCAGGTAAACATTATTAGATAATCGCAATCCTTTTCATCACTGCCAAAATGACAGTCTATAATACCATCGCAAACATCTTTCATATTGATACAAACGTTCTCTGGTTGACAAGTGAAAAGTTCTTGTGGACATTTTAAATATTCATTAAACTCGAACCAAGCAGGCTTGTGCTTTAATGAAATATCTATCAAAATAAATTCAATACATTATATATAAATATTGAATATAATAATTCAAAATTTACCGTATTCACGTTGACAAAAATGACGCTCAAACGTATACATTTCGCAAGGTATCGATTTATATCCTTCGGAAATTACCGATAAACATCGATCAGTTATAAACCATTTAGAAACATGATTATATAATAAATGAGAAGACTCTTCGCAAGTTTTTTTATCAAATATTTTTGATCTATTAACAAATGAAATTCTAATGATATAACACATCTTCTCTATTAAAGAATTTTATGCAATAAATCACTTAACGGTGAATCAACAATATTAGAAAGTCCAGTTAAATCTAATGGCACGTTTGCGCCAGTTGTTACAACTACTTTATTTTGACGATTTGTTAATACTTTCGTAGCTGATAAAAAACTATAAATAAACATGTTTATGAATTTTAATTTCAACTTACATAAAGGGAGAGTGTCAACTAAAAATTGAATATTTATAGTTAAATCTCAATAAAAAAGTAGATGATACACTTACGTAACCTGTACTCTGCATATTTAGGTAATGTATAAAGATACTCAAAGACGTGAGTAGCAAAAAAATATATATACTGATTCACAAGGAAATCTTTCTTTGATGATAAACTCAATAAACTCATATTTTTCTTCTTACAACTATTCACTGTATCTTGAAATAAAGCTAGGTGAACAGTTGGATCGAAATGATAACATTTCCATTCTGCTTCTATACGTTCAAAACCAGTACAATCGAAATCTATATAAAAAGACTTGAATTACTGAATGAATTTTGAATGCTTTTTTCATTTTTTTTCTAGTTCTACCTCTCTCGATCTCACGCTTAGTGCAGGATAAATAGACTGGTGGTCTTTTATTTCTTCTACCACTAACAAACAGTTTGTCACATCGTAATAAATCTGTTTCGTTCTTTTTACAATGCATACCATGTAGAAAGTCTAAATATCTATCTCTTTCCTTAAGTAGTTCAAAAGTACCCGTTTTGTATCCGAAATAACCGCAAATAACCTAAAAAACAATTTGACAAACTCTTTAAAGATTATGATAACGATATAATAAATTGAAAATTATTCAATACGTTTGCTTGAAGCACTCGAAAAAGTTCAATTAAAACCAAATACCAATGATTATTGTGATAAATTTGTAATTCGGCTCTGATTTCATCAGGTGTTACTCTATCAGTTTTATATAATGGTCTGTAATCAATAGATAACAGACGAAATGTATTATCTGTGTAAATGATATATAAATATTTATTCTCTTTCTATATTTGAATTAATTCAAAAAGAATCACTTTTCCATGTCTCTTTACGATTTCTTTCGCATTTTATTGAACATAAATAATACTTTGGATATGGCGACTGTTTTGTTCGAAGATGGCAATCATTTATAGTTTTTGCTTTATCTTTACAGACTAAATAAGGATTCTCGATTATTTCTTTACTCAAGAACCAAGGGATTGAGCATAACGGTTGAGCATCGTCGGATATAATCATTGAATAATTTTGACATATTAAACTTATAGCTTTGTTTACATGATCACCGGATAAGATTGCTATAACCATTGGTTCAGATCGATATCGAAGTAGAATCGGCTGTAAAACTGTACTCGACAAACCAGGGGGAGAATATTTAAAATAATCTGCAATAGTTGTTAGAACAAAGTCGTCCTTTCTTCGAAAACATTCCTTAGCAAGGCAAGAGAAGTTTCGAGTTTTATTATTAATTAATGAAAAATCACTTCCGTTATAATAAATTGAAAATGTAATTCTTTCATTCAAAAATGAATACTTTCTACTATTGAAATGTTGAGAATTTTCACAAATTCCATCATTCGTTGAATTTGTTGTTAAGCATAAATGATAAGATATACTATTTCGTCTCAAATAGACAGTTTCCATTGAATTAGTATCGGTTGGTTTAATAATTGAATAGAAAACTTGAACAAATAGAAAAAATAAAACAAACTTAATAGAATAAACTTTTAAAAAATTTCTCTTCTATTTCAATACGAACATGATGCTTTCTTTTTAAAGCATTTTACGCATATCGCTCTCCTAATGCCTTCATCTTTACGACAATAATTTCTTTTTCTATACGAAATGTATCTCTCTCTATTATAGTTTAAATTTTTTAATATATCGTCCATTAACTTACAACTGGCATGTTGTAAAAGCTATATCTTTTGAACAGAAAAATTCCAATACTGCGGCTGTATTGTTTTAAGAGAATGAATATGGTTTTATTAGGGGGAAAATGTATTTTCTTCTTTATTACCTTTTCGTTGTGGACAATGAAAATATTGTACAAAGCTTTCATCATAACCTTTCGTCTGGCAGGCAGTTTGAGATATTTTTTCAAGTACCTTATTTTCTAAGAACGCTTCAGGATAGTAAATTGGTAGATATTCATCGAAATATTCGCTTTTTACAACTAATGATCCCATAACAATACTATTTGTTTCTTTAAAAATCAAATGTATTGTATAGTTGAAACTATTGATTTCATAATAAACAGCTCTATTCAAACAAGAGTCATTAAAACATTGTATTTGTTTAAAAAAGCTTAAAGAATTAAAGAATAATAATATAAGATATCTGTTCATAATTGTTCAACAAGTTAGCTATTCTCACACAGAAAATGAAAGAATAATAAGATAAAATATCATTAAAAGACGAATGAAATGATGGATATGTTATATATTAACTTAGAGATATGATTAAATTACTAAAACTAAGAGAGATATATGCGAATATTTAAATCCTTTCAGTCTCAGGTTAACAGTCTCTGAAAGCAATGAGAAGATATTTTCTGTTCTGTTTATAATGGAATTTCCTTGGTTTTTATATTTTCTAAATGTTTGTTTAGTAAAAATCTATTCAAGTATTGAAACTGATGATTTATGTATTGAGAATAATATCACTCTGAAATCGTTTAATACAACTATATATCCAATTTTGAGGAATGATACTAATAGCGTTATCGGACCAATACTTTTAAGTGAAATAAATACGAATTTTTCAGCGTATATCAATTTTAACATATCTTATCAAGAATCTTTTAATTACGTCTCTAAATTGGCAAAGAATACTTGTTCATCGAATGGCTACGATTCGTTTTATCATCAATTCCTTGTTTGTCCCAACTATAGAAGTACTATAACAATGAAATAAGTGAAAATTCATAATAGACAAATTTGTTTCGTTCATAAAAAAGGCAAAGAAATTGTAGATTTAACTTGTTCTTCTAAGAAATTCCATTCAAATATTTGTAACATGTAGAAAGCATTTTAATTCTATTAATAACTTTAAAGAACTACATCTTTTCTTTTTTCAATTATTGATCGATAGGAGAAGGGGATTATGCAAAAATGGATTAACTAATCCAAATGTACTTTGCGTTAGATGCTTCAAACCGAATGAAATCTGTATGAATATTAATAATTTATATATAAATTCTTTATTCATGCTTCCAACAGTCTTTTATAATTACATGTTTAAAGTTGGTCCTCATGAGAGATATATTGTTTATTTTCGTTTTCTTGAACAATCTAGACAAATTTGCAATGTTAGCTTGAAAACAGAGGAATTTTGTAAAACAGTTTATATAATTAATAAGCTTGAAATGACAATTCCTAATGGAATTATACTACAAAAATATCTTTGGAAGGAGAATGATAAAAATTTCAAGATAATCAACAAGACAGAAGATATATGCATTGAAATAGAATGTCGAGGAAAAGACAGACGTAATAATTGACTAGAGAATGTTTAATTAATAGATAACAATGACTACTTTAAGATTTTAAGCTTGCTGTAGCTGAAGAATACTTTTATTCATTAAAATATTTAAATAATACTACAAATTACGAAATAACACCAATTCTCCTGTCAGAAAGGTATGGTCCAAAAAGTTTAGGTATACTAAAATCTTCAACATTAACTTTTATCGTTAATTTAATATGCGAATATTTTTCATTGGAAATTGATTATAAACAACACGAGACAAGTAATGAAATGATAATTAATAGTTATATGTCAAAATATATACACTATATAAATTGTGGTACAAACGCAACATATTTATCAAATTGTTCCTTTATCAAGAAATATCATAGAAGATATAAAGATTTATTCTTGACTAAAGTTTATTGCAGACAAAAACAAGTATTAAAGTCTGGTATGAATAAATTAACTAATTAACTAATTCAATGAGAATATTATTATGCATTTAGATTATAAATATCGATTATATATCTCTTCCGATATGATCATTTATAGGGATTCCTATATAAATATGAACCCGTTTACTGCTGTCCTACAAATTTACGATCGTGTATGGTATACATTGTTAATAGATTTATTTAACAGCACTTCCGCAAATGTTAGGCCTATTGTTTTTCATCATTTAACCAGTGTTTTTTTAATAAAGTAAATGTATTTTTAGACAATTTGCCGCTATTTCGGTTATACTTTAGCAACGTTCAATTTCAAATATTTATTAAATACTAGCTTTGATTCTTTTCTTACTATTGTATGCGATGGGAATGAAACAAATTTGGAAGATTGTCGAAAATATCCTTTTGAATCTGAGCGAAAAATTTCAAATATAGGCATAATATGTTCAAATTCAACGTATTTATTATATAATCGTAAGTTAATTAAGAAATAATTATATATTGATTGAATTATAAACAGTATGTACTTCTCTCAAGACTGCAATTATGAATCGTCTACAACATTTAATTGGAGATGTTATCATTACAAATATCTTTTAAATTCAATTTCTTATGCGAATGCTATAAAATACTGTAAATCAAGAAATTCTTCATTAATTAGTATTTCATCCGAAGAGAAAATTGATCTTTTAAAATATATTCTCTACGTTCAAACAAATATTAATCGTCTGAGTAGGAAACGTTATCGACTTCCTGATAAGAATAATTTCATTTTAAGTAAGAAACACTATTGTTCTTTTTACTATTTAATCTATTTTCTTTCTTAGATGACGAAATTCCAATTGGTTTGTTTATTTCATTTATTGTTTTTCTTTCGTTTATTACTCGTACTTCATTTTGGTAGGAATTCGAAAAATGTCAACTTTTGGAGGTCACCAAGTTTTAACGACAAGTGATAATGTTTCACTAGACGCTGTTGGCCTATGGACAATTCAACAAGGAAGGTTGCGACAGTTTTCTTTTTTTTCGATAAAGCGTCGAGTTCATTGAAAATCTTCTTTTCTGTTTATGAAGGGTTGATATGCCGTCGACGTGCTACAAAACGGTACGTACAATGCTTTCGCAAGTTTCGCGATGGCTAAGGAATACAGAATGCGCTCTATTGAGTAAATATGGATATAAAGCGTTTGATTGTAAATCTTATACATTTAAAATAGTTATATGCGAATCCGAGACACGTACGAAACAAAGTCGAAAGGTCAATTTAAGTTTCATTCAGAACATCTATTCATTCTAGAAATTCCAAGAGATTCTATTCAAATAACGAATTATTCCACTCTGTCAATACCAAAGTTTAAAAACTGTCCAACAAATTTATTCAAATGTACTCATTACGATTTCTGCATTTCAATTGCTAGCGTTTGCGATAGGGAAAATGATTGTCCGGATGGAAGTGATGAGGTTAACTGCGAAGATCGTTTATATTTTATTTGTAAATCGGGTCAAGAGATAAATGCTAATCTCATTTGCAATAATATAGCTGATTGTAAAGATGAAAGCGACGAAAAGGATTGTTGTAAGTAATTTTTCAATTTCACAGAACATAATTAATAAATAAATTGCTCTTTTGGATTCGTAATTTAGATTTTGAATGCGACACAAACACAAAGTATTTCTCATATTTATCTTCTTTAAACGATTATCCCTAATAACATTATTATAAAAGCTTTAGATGCGATTACAATAGATGTATACCAAAGGAAAGACGATGCTTACCCGACAGAATTTGTCTAGAAAAAATATCGCGGTGCAAGCGTACTTAATCAGATTTAGTATCAATTATATCTTTCTAACAGTTTTAAATTAATTAGGTTGCCCAAGAAGGATTAATAGATTATATTTTTGTGATGGATATTGCGTTAGAAATCGTAAATTTTGCGATTTTCAAGCAGACTGCGGGGGATTTCCATCATGGGACGAGCCTAATAATTGCAATATGCAAATCTATTTTAAACTTACTAAAACGGAGCAAAATATGTAAAGATATTCAATTGCCGATAACCAAAAACAATAGCCTTTTGAATGATTGTTTGATTATTAGTTATAGGAGACGAGTCTGTACTGAAGCATCTCTTTTTAAATACATTTTACTATTATCAAAACTTTGGAAACTAGATAGCGGAACAAATTGCCGTTTAAAATATACTTCCAACGGAATACTTGAAACAAGGGCAGCATATCCTTTATACCAATTAAGAAATTGTCCATTTAAACAGTGTCCGCAAGGAGAGTATTTATGTAACAAACACTTTTACTGTATTGATATAAAATATATTTGCGATGGGATAAAACATTGTCTAGAAGGAGATGACGAGTTGAATTGTGGTAAGAAAAAGGAGAAGCCTGTTTATTTTTAAAATTCCGTTTTCCATAGAAACTTTCAGTCCAATTGGCTATTACAAATGTAAAAATCAATGGAATTTCATTCATACGGATAAAGTATGCGATAAAAGTTTAGATTGTTTTTTTGGAGACGATGAGACGCCCTGCTATAATTATTCATTTAACAAATGCCCTTCATTTTGCCAATGCCTTGGCAATTTCACTGTGCAATGCAACTTTGAAAATAATTTAAAATCTAAATTCTCTTTCGAAATTGAAATGAGAAGTTTACATATCAAGAATATGGTTAATAATCAATTAATTTCCATAAGAAATCCATATATTCTCTATCAATTTGAAATAATAAATAGTTCAATAGAAAATTTCCCCAGAATTTTATGCCATAACCTGATAAAATTGAATTTAATGAAGAATTCATTGAAAGATACAAGATTTCTATCAAATTTTCAAATGAAAAAACTGCAGTATCTAATTTTAATGAAAAATCCAATTAGAATATGGAATTCAGATATATTTTTACCTTCATTAATAACGTTAGATTTGTCTTTTACCGAAATATCGACATTAACAAAAACTAGCTTTAATAGACTTGAAAAGATACAAATATTAATAATAACAAATTCTAATTTAAAGATAATTGATAAGCTAATTTTTCAATCATTAAAATACATTAAAACTATAAATTTAAATGATACAATTCTACCTTTAACATCAATATTTCAATCGTTAAAGCATGCCAATTCTTTGAAATATTTCTACTCGAATTATTACGAACTTTGTTGCGTAATAGAGAAGTATTGTCGAAATATTTTACAATGTTCACCATCGAATTCTATATTTAAAACTTGTGGAGATCCTATTAGTAACGTCTTCTTAAAAGTTATTATATGGATTATGATAATTTTTGGATTATTGGGTAATATTTCAGCTCTAATTATGAATAAGATTAACAGAAAAGAAATGGAAGAGAATGTTTATCTTCTAGCCTTGAATTTATCGGATTTAAGTCTAATTATCTATTTAATAATTATAGGAGTAATTGATAGTTATTATAGCGGTAATTATATAGAATATGACATTCAATGGAGATTCAGCGAGTTGTGTAAATTTTGCGGTATTTTATCAAGTACGTCAATATTATTTTCAAATAGTTGTTTATTGTTAATAACGTTGAATCGATATTTGACTGTTTGTCATTCAAACTTTCGCTATTCAAAGAAACAATTATCAATAGTCTTCTTTATTGTTTCCTTGAGTTTAATTTCTTTATTATCCATCTTACCGATATATATATTTAATGTATAGTTCTTCTTCCATTTTCATTCTACTAGACTAATATGATTACAATTCTCTTTTATCAAAGGATTTCTATTCAAGATCTCCGCTATGCTTCCCATTACATATTACTAATGAAAGGATATCCGGTTGGGTATATTCTTTATCAGCCTATAATATCTTCCCAACAATAGTATGCTCTATTACAATTGTACTCTATTCAAGAATTATACTATATATATGGAACAAATATAATGATAATATAAAGGTTGTAAGAGAGATTGGTCTTAGTGGTTTCACCATAATAATAACAAACATTTCCTGTTGGTTTCCCTTATCAATAATAAGTAAATTGAATTGAAAATATACATTCAACCATTTATTCAATCATTGACATGAATTTCTTTTCTTTTTTATAGGCTTATTAGCGGTTTTTGATCAAATTCAATTCAATAATTCAATTTATTCTTGGACTATGATAGCGATTATTCCTTTAAATTCCGTTTTAAATCCCTATATAATTTCAACTTCGTCATTAATTTGCTATATAAGACTTAGTAAGAAGAGAAGAATGGCTAAAAAGTTATTAATTCAAATAATAATTTATATTTCGTATTGAATTGAAATGATCATATTTTCATTTCTATTAGAAAGAAATTTCTAGCGGAAGTTGAGTTAAAATCAAAAGAGGAATGTAAATAGATAAAGAAAAGAGTATCTTGATAGATTGTTAATCTTTCTTTCAATTCTACTAGATTATCTATTCGTTCATAATTGGTATGAAAATAGTATAATATTCGATATATGTAATCATAGAAAATGGAAAACTATAAGAAATCTACCAATATTACAATTGACGTCAATACGACAATTGATATTAGATCTATGTAAAGCTATTCAATCTGCTCATAAATTCAATTTGATGATTAATTCAGAATCTAAAGATGAATGTATAGTGTTTACGGTAAATATGAAATTTTTCAACATTTCATTCACTTTTCCGTTTTGAAAATAAGGAATTGAACAAGAAGATTAGAAGTTTTATTGTTTTTCAAAGATTATCTACTTCTCCTTCGTCCGAATTATTTCCAAATGATATTCAAATTATTGGAAATTATTTAAAGAAAATATTACTTAAGAATAGGATTAATAAATAATTTCAAAACTCATGAATTTCATGCTTTCTTCTCTTGTATTATATCTCATTCAGATTCGTTTGCAATTTGGCATTTTTTAACTAGTGTGGGGCTCTGTGGCTTAGTTGGTTAAAGCGCCTGTCTAGTAAACAGGAGATCGAGGGTTCGAATCCCTCCAGAGCCTTTTTAAAGTTTATTAAACTCAATATTTTTTTTAATAAAGTAGTTCATTTTCAAAATAAGGTCATTGAAATACGAATAAGGGGAACTGTTAAACTAAACACACGTAATTTACTATACTATTTTGCTGTTATCGGGAGAGTATAATTTATAAAAAAAAATTTGGCAGCGGTGGGATTCGAACCCACGCCTCAATGAGACTGGTGTTTCTAGAATCAGTATTAGACCTAAAACCAGCGCCTTAGACCGCTCGGCCACGCTACCTCTTGAATACCTATTGTATTTATAAACCAACTACACAGTAGCTTAAATGATTTCTTATATCAAAAACATTATCCTTATTAATAGAGATTTTTGACGAAAAACCTCAACAACACCAATAATTATCTTCATTTTCGTATCTTTTAAAATTGGTTGTTTTTTTTAAAAAAAAAAATTCTTAAAATATTATTTTACTCTTTTTATAGAAATATGTTAATTCTATTTTTAGTAACACTACTACAATTGCTATTTATGTATTAAAATATTATTTTATATATAGTCACGTTTTACTTATACTCAATAAATAGATATATATATATAGTATATATTATTAATTTTTGTCCTTGAAGGCTATCTTTTATCATAGCTTTCCTAGGGGAAGAGATTGAGTAAGATAATTCTAATAAAAAGAATTCAATACCTAATTTAGTGGGTTGTTTTTTTTTTAATATATTGCATAACATGTAAATTTATTTAACTTTATCTAACTTACTAAACTGTATCCGAGCCTTTACAATATCAATATTGTTTGGAAGAATTGACCTCTTTCTCAATAAAGTAAGCAGTTTTTTTTTATTAAAGTTTATTCAGCTTATTCTTATCTTTAACTAGAATAATAAATTTAAATTTAAGTTGTATTGTATATTCAAACTTGAAATAAATGTTAGATATTGACTTATACTATGCTTTGTCTTTTTTTTTAAAGCCTAACAATCAAATGGAATATAAAAAAGAGTGATTTCTTTCATAAAATATTTACTTAGTTTATTATAACTTTCTTTTCTTTTCCATAAAGAAAATAGAAGAGAAAGCATCGGTTTGTTTTTTAATGCTGATTCGACAAAATACTTTATAGTCAACACTTTTAATATCAATATTGAACTTGTAGGAAAGTAAACTTACGTCATACCTTGATTTTCATTTTAACGTTTTTAATTACATAAGCCTTTAATATCTGAGACTCTTACTATATACTGATAATCGCTTCTTTCAAGTATATCTCTTAAAGATTCTATTATTCTTATATTTTCTTTATAAATATTCTCTGTTTGATCAGACCAGTTGTTATCCTTAATTTAATGTATAACTCGAATTTTGTTAAGGGTATAAATAATGTTTAAAATCCATACAACTCACCATATCCCTAACTGCATTTGACAATTATCTTACGTATACTTATATATACAAGATGATTTTCAAAGTATTATCGTTACTATTTACTTTTCTCATAGTTTGTAAGTTTATTTTTTATCTTATCTTACTGATGCAGCCTGATATCTTAATTTTTTGCATTCTTTAGACGCTCAGGCTCAATCATTTTGCTTTTGCCAGAATGGAGGTAATTTTCTATACAATTGATCTTCTTCACCAATACAATCTATTAGTATTCTATCAATTCGTTAGGTTCTTGTTTAAGCACGACAATTGGTATACCAAGATGTGCTTGTCCGAAAGACTATACAGGAATGTTATGTGAACAAAGAATTACTAGATTTAATAATGGAACGGGGAAGCCACCTCTTTCCACTTGCAATTCAAACCCATGTTTAAATAATGGTATCATTTTCTTATTGTTTATAACAAACATAAATGAATAATACCAATTTAAATGCTCTATTTCCAACAGGTATGTGTATGATGGTTTTGAACAGAGTACACTGCGCATGTCCCCCTGGGTTTGATGGATCAAGATGTGAACGTATCGCGAACAAAACAAAAAATACAGCGTGTTCGCATTCGTCTCAGAATTGTAAAAATGGCGCTACTTGCGTTGATAATGGTTCTTATACAACTTACGCATGTAAATGTACATCGGGTTTTGTCGGAAAGTACTGTACATCCTTTGCCAGTGATCCTTGCTATCTGAAAAACTATTGTCATAGTGCCGGTACTTTTAGCATTTGCTATACAAGTCTCTTTTTTTTATATGATTAATCTTAATATAAACAACAACAGCAAAATGTAATAGCTACAGGAAATATGAAACATTTTCTGGAAAGTATGTCTATAGCGTAAGTTGTTTATGCCCTCTTAGGTAAATGCGTTTTATCTGGAAATGACTACTATTGTAAATGTAGAAAGGGATATGAAGGTCGACTCTGTGATATTCGTAGAACAAATCTTTGTGAAGTGAATCCTTGTGAAAATGAAGGTAAGCTGTTCAATAATAATCCTTCATCTACAAATATTACATACTCATTTTATTAAACAGGAATATGCTATCAACGAAAGAATCGTCTAACTAGGGAAAGTGAAGCTATATGTATTTGCCGAGATAAATGGAGTGGAAGGACTTGTTCAGAAGATCATTCCGAACCTTGCAAAAGTAATCCCTGTATAAATAATGGTAATCTCTTTTTTTATAGATATTAATCCAATAATTTGGGTAAAATATGATGTTTTTCTTCCATTATATAGGTGAATGCCGTGACTTAACGAATGGAAAATATCTTTGTAAATGTCCTAAAGGTTTCTTTGGCGAATCTTGCGAATTAAAAGATCCTTGCGAAGATGAAACCTGTAACGGAAATGGTCTGTAAAAGATTAAAAGTTGACTGTTAACGTCAATATGATTATTTCAATATTTTTAGGCTTTTGTTTACCAAAAGTCATGCGTATGAATGAGACGTTTTCTCTAAGCACCCAATGCTTATGTCATAAGTATTACGCCGGTAGACAATGCGAATTCGTCAATCCGTGTTTGAATGATAATCCTTGTTTAAATGGAGGTAAGATTGGGGATTAATTTAATTTTTACAGAACAAAATACTAATTAAATCTTTGTTACAGGCCAATGTAAATCGAAACCAATCTACGCTTTTCCCAATATGTTCACTGTTGTCGGTTTCGAGAAAGCAACTTGTGACTGTACAGAATATTTTGCTGGAAAGCATTGTGCTGATTTAAGTCCTTGTGTCACAAATAATCCTTGCGAAAATGAAGGTATATATATAATTTAATCATTTCAAGTCTTAATAAAAGTCATTATATCTAATTTAAGGTTATTGTAACGATACTTATATTTATAAAACGACTGAAAATGGATACGAAAACACATTTGGTGATCCCAACTGTACATGTCCGTTGGATTACGAAGGAATTCATTGCAAGACCAGAATAAATAATCCATGCGAAGAGTTACCTTGTGAAAATGGAGGTACAGTATATAACCTTAACAATTGAATAGTAGTCGAGAGAAAGATTAAATATTTCATCTTATTGAAGGAACTTGTATAAGAAGAAAAGAAGATAAAAACAAATATGAATGTTTATGTGACAGTAAGCACGAAGGAGAAAATTGCGAATTGAAAAAAGCAAGATACGAGCTCACTTCATGTGATTTTGAAAAGCTTTGTGAAGATTTCAAGTATTGGACTAACAACAGATATCATTGGAAAGATCGAATAGGAACAACTCCCAGTTATATGACTGGGCCATCTAAAGCATACGAAGGTATAAGATATAGTTATGCCGAAGCCTCAAGCCCGGCCACTACTGGAAATATAGCCTCTATTAGGTCGAGTTATATAAATATTAATGGACCATCGTGCATTTCTCTATATTACCATATGTTTGGTTCTGGTATCGGAAAACTCAAGGTATATGTTCAAAAAAAATCTGGAAAGATACTCGGAAATGTATGGTCTAAGACTGGACCTCAAGGAAATCAATGGCATCATATGCAAATGGACATTGCAAATACCACATCAGGTATATTGATTATAGAAGGAACTAGAGGACCATCGTGGTCAGGAGATATTGCTATTGATAACATAAAATGGAATTTTGGCACGTGCTTGTCCGAGACTGAAGTTAAGCCCTGAAAGCGTATAACTCTATTACTAAGCACTCGAATGTCATAGTTTTTGATATAAATTTCAATAAATCTTTCTCAAAGCATATTCCATATATACTGTACATGTATACAAGTACAAACCAATAAGCAATAGTGTACTTCTTTTTACATTTGCCAAAAAATGAAAAAAATATGGCAGCGGTGGGATTCGAACCCACGCCTCAATGAGACTGGTGTTTCTAGAATCAGTATTAGACCTAAAACCAGCGCCTTAGACCGCTCGGCCACGCTACCTTCACAAAGACCTGTGTATTAAGGCGAAACTGGTGTTTATTATATATTCATTTGCGTAGGACATTCGACCTCTTTGAAAGCTTTAGTTAAAATGCTATAAAAAGAAGGGGGAGCATATTTTTCTACATGGTATGATTCATTCAAAATCGAATGATCTTCTTTGCAAAGAAGTTTCCTAATTTGGCTTGTTTCATAAAACTCTTCGTCATAAAGTTAAGATTGAAGATATTCATGAAAGAATAATCTCATATTTAAATAACGTCCAATAAAAAATTAGATTAATGCTTTTGCACTGAAATTATTCAAAAAACATTAATAAATTTCACCTGAACTTTTTTTGCAATGAAAGATGAGGTCGATGAACGATAATTCATTGGAAACTCATTTAAATATTTTGCAATAATCTTTTGAGATTTTTTTTCAAAAATCATTGAAACTTATACTTAAAACTATCCTCATCTATAGGCCTAATACAATTAGGAAATAAATCTAGGAGTACAGATCCTAGATCTGCATTATATTAAAAATTGATGAATGACTTTATTAAGTTTTCTTAAACTAAAAATTCATGTTCCAGCATTAAATTCCAAGAATTCCTTTAATATTCATTAGTTATCTGAGTATTTATCTAGTGCATATGCAAAAAATCTGTGGCAGAGCATTTTTTAGGATTTACAATAATCGTACCATATGAAGAGAAGAACCTAAAGTCTCATAGAATTTTAGTATTTTCTATCCTCCTTCGATAATTACTATTAAATATCGTGACTCGCCTACTTAATAAACAGTTCTATCATTAAGATTGTAAGGCAAATATATGAAATTCCCAGTACCTAGAATCATAAAGAAAATCGATAAGATATAAAGACCTTTGTGAAGAAAAGTGCTTATTTTGCCTTATTAATTTTTATGCCAGTAGGTGCAAAGGGTTCAGACCTACTTAAGTATATTTGTATAAGTTTATCGATTAAAACTAAAACTATAGTATATTGCCTGTTTTGATAAAGTAAATTTATATTTTCCTATAACGTAATAGAATAATTATACTAATTACGTTATGCAGATAAAGTGCAGATGTATTTAATATTCATGAATAAATTAACCCATAGTTTTGTCTAGGCCTATTACAATTCAAGTTCATTGTTGTTGTGGATATTTTCTTTCTAAAAAAGTATTATATATCAGCAAAAAATTACTGTTAAAAACATATTAAGTGCATAATTTGCATAAGCAATCAATTGTTATCGTCCCTTTTAAAATCTATTCATTTTTAGTAGTTGTGCGTCATTCTTTAACGTTTAAAATATAGGACTATTTGGATTCGTGATGGGCAACTCCGTCATTGTGTATATGAATCATTGCCTTTCAATAGCTCGAAAAGGGTATAAAAATGAATTATTTTCTATCATTCTTCACTCTTTGCTCGTTGGAGAAACAGTGAGTGAAAATGGCAAAAACTTTACTTCTATTCTTTGGCGGTTTGGTCCTTATTATGGATTCATCAATTGGCCAGCGTGTTAATCGAACTTATCCAAGCTATCCAAGCTATCCAACTGGAAGCTATCCGAGCTATCCAACTGGCAGATATCCGAGCTATCCAACTGGCAGATATCCAAACTACCCTACTGGCAGATATCCAACCTACCCTACTGGAAATTATCCAACATACCCTACTGGAGGCAGAAATAACACAAACACATGCGCCAGTAACCCATGTCTTAACGGTGCACGTTGTTATTCGTATGGCTCATATAAATATGGAGGTTGGAGCTGTAGCTGCAAACCTGGATACTCAGGCCCAGTCTGTCAATACTCTGTATCTGACCCCTGCAAGAAATCAGAAAACGTCTGTGCAAACAACGGTACTAAAGAATTATAAAACTTTTTTGAACGTTCTTTACTATTTCTTTTTATCTTTTAGGAATTTGCAATGCCAAAAAAAGTTATTATTGGAGGAGTGTAAGATACGAATTAGCTTGTATCTGCCCAAAAACACATACTGGTCCAACTTGCTTAAAAAAGAATCCCTGCTTTGAAGGCCCATGCCAAAACGGTAAGATATAACTTTGAAATACTACTAAATCATCTTATTATATTATTTATTTTTAATAGGTATCTGTACTCCTATGGACAATGGTACCACTAACGCTATCAAATGCCATTGTAATAGCGGCTTTGAAGGTAAAAACTGCGATATTCCTACCCCAAATCTCTGCAATGCCAACACATGCAAGAATAATGGTATTATTCTATTCATTTTAGTTGTAAATTGTATTAATATTTTATCTCCATAGGAATTTGCCATCAATATTTAAACCATAGTCTTGGAATTTCTCAACATAAATGCTACTGTAAAAATAGTTGGGGTGGCAAAGATTGCTCTGAAGATATGTCCAATCCATGCCAATCTAGCCCATGCGAAAATGAAGGTTAGTATATTATTTAAATATATTACAAATCAATACCTATTTTATATTTTGTTCTTTACTTTTAGGTGTTTGCACCAATGGAAATAAAGGAAAATATTTCTGTACATGTAAAGCTGGATTTGCTGGTCAGAATTGTGAACATGCTGATCCTTGCACAGCTCAATTCTGTGGTGATCACGGTAACTATTCATAAAGATATTACTGAAAGACATACAAACTATTAACTCTTTGTTTATTTTTCAATCCTCTCAGGAAGATGTCTTGCTATAGCTAGCTATGATATGAAAAAAAATGCCACTGAATTGAAAGCAGTTTGTGAATGTGATCCAAGCCATGCTGGCCTGAGATGTGAAATTGTCAACCCATGTATCAGTGAGAACCCATGTGAACATGGTGGTAAGTTGATAATATTGAAAATATTAATTGTTTGGCAAGCCTTTTCAAATATATTTTTCTAACAGGACAGTGCAATTCTTATCCTAAACGATCATACCATTACTATTTTGTCAGCAGAGGCAATTACAATTCCACTGGTTTCACTTCTCCCAAATGCTACTGTCCACAATATTTTGGAGGTAAACGCTGTGAAGTGGTTAGCCCATGTATTGAAAAAAACCCATGTCAAAATGAAGGTAAATATCAACGTTGAAATTTTACAATTATATCCATTTTTAACTTATAAATTGTTAAATAGGAGTATGCAAAGATAACGTTAAATATTCATACGACAACGGCACAAGCTACAAAGAATTTTTGGAACCTCGTTGTTATTGTCCAGCAGATTACACTGGCAAATATTGTGAAACTAAAATAGTTAATCCTTGTGAAGATGAACCATGCAAAAATGGAGGTAAATGATTTTAAATAGTTCAAATGAAATCCCTCATCAATTACAATTTACTTTGATAGGATTATGCAGCAAAAGTAAAACTGATGAAAGTGCCTTTGTTTGCACATGTATTGGTAATTACATTGGTGAAACATGTGAAATAAAAAACACTAAAATCACTGAATGTAGCTTTGAGAAAGGATTGTGCTCAGGATTCACAACCACAAAAACAGGTTCATTTGCTTGGATTATTCAATCCGGTTCAACTAGAAGTGTAAGAACTGGACCCAGCACTGGTAAAGATGGTAAATATTACATTTACACTGAAGCATCTAGTCCTGCCAGATCGGGATACAAAGCTTATATCAGGTCAAAATATTTTGAAACCGAATCTACATCATGCGTTTCTCTGAACTACCATATGTACGGTAGCGCTATTGGAACTTTGAAAGTTAAAACTGAAAATTCTGAAAGAGAAATGACATCAGATAAAGAATTTTCTCTTTCTGGTGATCAATCAAACAAATGGCATTCCCTAAGTTTGACTGTTCAACCTGGATCATCCAGACTAGTAATTGAAGCAACAAGAGGAAATAGCTGGGCTGGAGATATTGCTGTTGATAATATCGTCTGGGTAGGAAGAGCCTGTGACGAGGAGGGAGAAGGAGAGGGAGGCGAGAACCCAGACAATGGTGAACCCGACAAATAAATCAATTCTGCATCCTATATAGGCTTTATTTAAAAGCAATCAATCGTTTTTTGAAGTCGAATACAAATAGATTTAAATCTTAGCTTTAAAAAACGTTTCTTTTAAAATTTACCTTTAGCGCGATTGCAAACAAACGAACACTAGTTCCATCTAGATCAATGCAATTGGTCAATAATTTATAACCCTATGTTATAAAGAGCACTGTAGATGACAAATCCCCGCGAAATGATAAATTCTGATTGAGAGACAAGCGAACCAAACACTATCTTCTAGTCTCTGACTCTAGTTAGACCATTGTGGGATATCAAACCAAGACAGCTCTAGCGTTGTAGAGAAATCTAATTCTGTCAGAATAGACTGTCCTATTAAGTACAGTATAGCGACGCTTTTATAATAGTTGACCTGTACTAGATTCTTCTATTCAATAAATAGAACCAATAATATACATAAACATTTATATATATATATATATATATATACATATACAAATATATTTGCTCAAGCAAATTGAACAAATTTATTAATGTTTTTAATGGGCGTAGGTCCTCTCCTTAAAGATCATGTAAATACTAGGAAATTTGCTCTCTGACGAAACGATTTATTCCATTTCATTTTCTCTTTTTAATTATTCATTAAATCATCAACAAACAAACAAACGATTTCGTTTCTAATTGAAGGGAAAAAGAATCTAGAAAAGACTTTGGGTTCTTAAACTATCGCTTAATTGCTTTAGATTTATAGGTGAGACTCTTTCGCACGGATTTCCAGGTGAGATTGAACTACAGATTGATTTATAAAATGACTCATAACTACTGGCTGGAACTTAAAATCGACAATTTTGTATATAAATAAGTTGAATATATTTAAATGGAACTGTCATTAACTTTGAGTAACATTTTCTTTAAAACTACTTTATCAGACTGATACTGAGAAGAGTTTAACAATAATTCGTTTTCGTCTTTTTTGCATAAATTAAAAAGCTTCAGCGTGACTAACTTTATTGAATCTATTTAAATTTCTAAATATGAATACGCATATGCTTGAAAGTAATATTTCGTTAGTTGTTCTTACTATACTAAATTCCTTTATCAAATAACATAATATTACATAAACCCATTGTTAACGTACTGCGTCGTGAGCATTTCGTTGCTCGTTGAATAATTATTAGTCGTTTAAAATAGAAGGGTATAAATTTAACAGATCTGGAATTTTGTCGCTAGTTAAAAGTTCCTTTTCAAACTTGAAAATTTGTAAACGTCCAATATGAGGGAAATGTTTCGTTTATTTCTTACTATTAGTTTAATCGCAAAATATGACTTTTTACCACAAGGACCAGGTTGGGTTAGAGTTACATCAGAGAAAAATAATGGAAAAAGTCAAGGATCAACAGGAGAAAACAATCCTGGGTCAACTGGTGGACATTATCCTGGATCAACTGGGAGTAAATACCCTGGGTCAGCAGGAGGATATTATCCAAGTGGAAACTACCCAGGATCAACAGGTGGAAACTATCCTGGGTCAACGGGTGGAAATTATCCTGGATCAACTGGGAGTAAATACCCTGGGTCAACAGGAGGATATTACCCAAGTGGAAAATACCCAGGATCAACAGGAGGGTATTATCCAAGTGGAAACTATCCAGGATCAACAGGTGGAAACTATCCTGGGTTAACTGGTGGAAATTATCCAGGAACAACAGGAGGATACTATCCAAGCGGAAACTACCCAGGATCAACAGGAGGATATTACCCAAGTGGAAATAACCCAGGATCAACAGGAGGGTATTATCCAAGTGGAAACTATCCAGGATCAACAGGAGGATATTACCCAAGTGGAAAATACCCAGGATCAACAGGTGGAAACTATCCTGGGTCAACTGGTGGAAATTATCCTGGAACAACAGGAGGTTATTACCCTAGTGGAAACTACCCAGGATCAACAGGAGGATATTATCCAAGCGGAAACTATCCAGGATCAACAGGAGGATATTACCCTAGTGGAAACTATCCAGGGTCAACAGGAGGGTATTATCCAAGTGGAAACTATCCAGGATCAACAGGAGGATATTACCCAAGTGGAAAATACCCAGGATCAACAGGTGGAAACTATCCTGGGTCAACTGGTGGAAATTATCCTGGAACAACAGGAGGATATTATCCAAGCGGAAACTATCCAGGATCAACCGGAGGATATTACCCTAGTGGAAACTACCCAGGATCAACAGGAGGATATTATCCAAGCGGAAACTATCCAGGATCAACAGGAGGATATTACCCAAGTGGAAACTACCCAGGATCAACAGGAGGGTATTATCCAAGTGGAAACTATCCAGGATCAACAGGAGGATATTACCCAAGTGGAAAATACCCAGGATCAACAGGTGGAAACTATCCTGGGTCAACTGGTGGAAATTATCCTGGAACAACAGGAGGATATTACCCTAGTGGAAACTATCCAGGATCAACAGGAGGATATTACCCAAGTGGAAAATACCCAGGATCAACAGGTGGAAACTATCCTGGGTCAACTGGTGGAAGTTACCCAGGAACAACAGGAGGGTATTATCCAAGTGGAAATTACCCAGGATCAACAGGAGGATATTATCCTGGATCAACTGGGGGCAAATACCCAAATGGGAACAATCCAAGGTCAGGTGATGAAAATAATTTTTGCTCATCCAATCCTTGTATGAACGGCGGAGTCTGTAAATCAGTTTCACCATCATTTGAATGTGTATGTCCAGAGGGTTTCACAGGATATAATTGCGGACTTATGAAAAAGGATGCTTGTAAAAATAGCTATTGTGAAAACAAAGGTTTTGTTGTTGATAATGAAATTGTTTAAATACTTTTTTTTATAATGCTTCATAGGAACATGCGTCAGCTATAGAAGCTCTACGAGAGAAGTATCTTATGTTGTAAGCTGTATTTGCAAAGAAGGTTTTTTTGGATCTCGATGTGAAAAGAGTTCTCCTTGCCTGGAGAACCCATGTAAAAATAATGGTTAGTTAATGAACATGTTGAATTTCTATTATACTTGTGATTTTCTTCAAAAACAAGGAAAATGTTTCGGAGTTGCAAATAGCCGTGAATATAGATGTAAATGTAACAAAGGTTTTGAGGGAAAGCATTGCGATAGCCCAACTCCTAAACTATGTAATTCTACAACTTGCAAAAACAATGGTATTGACAGTTTGAGTAAAACTTTCTCTAATAATATCTTAGCTAATGTACAATAGGCAGATGTTATCAATGGAAGAATGGAAAAACAGAATTAAGTGAAGTTTTTTGTAAATGTGCTGGAAATTTTACGGGTGAGAACTGCTCAGAAAGGATTATTGACGGATGCGCAAAGAATCCTTGCGAAAACAATGGTAAATATATAAAATACCAATTTCTAATCTTTTTACTAATTTTAATTGCATAAAGGAACGTGTCATAGTTACGGAAGTACAGGAAAGTATTATTGTATTTGTTCTAAAGACTTTGTAGGATTTAACTGTAAATCACCTAATCCTTGTAATTTACATTCCTGCAATGGAAAAGGTAAGATAGTTCGTATTTACCAACACAATACGAATAATAATGCATATCCCATCAAGGACAATGCTGGGTTTCGTACTCTTATCAACGAGAAAAAGTTGTAGCAATTGCTAAGTGTAGTTGTAATCCACCTTTCGCTGGAAATAACTGCCAGATAACCAATCCATGTTACACTAACGAAATCTGCAAGAATGGAGGTTAGTAATTAGAAACTCTTTCTATTTAAACTATCTTTCGCCACTGTTGTTTAGGAACTTGTCGTGCACATTTGACCTACAATTATACCGAGGAGGGAGATTATGTAGAGCAATTTGTAGAACCTTTCTGCCAATGTTCGAATCTATATGCAGGAAAATTTTGCGAGATTCTTGATCCATGTATTAGCAATAATCCTTGCAAAAATGAAGGTGTTTTATTATAGTTGAAGTATACAAATTCAATTCTAACATTTACGTTTCACAAAACAGCACTTTGTTACTCGCATCACCAATTATATTATGATAATGAAAAGCGATGGAATAAAGAATTCACAACATCTAATTGCGAATGTCAGCTAGGATATGAAGGAAGATATTGCGAAATTAAAATTATAGATCCTTGCGAAGAAAATCCATGTCAAAATGGAGGTGATTGTATAACAACAGCAATTCAATTCTTCTAAGAATAAAAACAACCTTTTTTTCAATTATCTAGGAACTTGTAAACTTGATAAATACGATAAAAGAAAATACGAATGTATTTGTCCTAGTGAATTTGAAGGAGAAACTTGTGAAGATAAGCAAATTATGGCTTGTAGTTTTGAAAAAGATTGCCCTGAACTTCACCTTACAGACAACAAAAAGTACAAGTGGATTATTCAAATAGGATCAACAAGTTCTGCAAGAACAGGACCAGAAAAGGCATTTGAAGGATTGAAATACATTTATGCCGAATCGTCTAAACCAGCCAAACAAGGAGATCAAGCCTCGATTAAATCAAATTTTTTTACCTTAGAATCAGTTTCGTGTATATCTCTTCGTTACCATATGTACGGTCCTCATATTGAAAAGCTAGAGGTATATGTTGAAAATGAATTAGGTCAGATAGGAGGAGCATGGGGAAGAAAGGGACAACAAGGATATGAATGGTTACAAATGAGCTTAGAAGTTCCAGTAGGTCGATATCGTTTAGTTATAAAAGCTACACGAGGAATTAGCTATCGTGGAGATATTGCCATTGACAACATAGTATGGATGAATAGAAGCTGCTTTGAATTTTAAATATAAGAATTTAAAGAACAAAACATTAGCTATACAAATTTTAAATGAAATAGAACTCAATACAAAAGAAAAGACAATCATTGATAAAATTAGTAAGTTAATATCTTTAAGAGAATTCAAAAAAAAGTATTTTGGCAGCGGTGGGATTCGAACCCACGCCTCCGAAGAGACTGGTGTATTAACATCACTTTTATAATTGACCTTAAACCAGCGCCTTAGACCGCTCGGCCACGCTACCCTGTTACAATACAAATGTTTTTTTTACAAAATTGATATGTAAACAGCGAAATACCGTTACAAATTAACGCTTAACAAATTGATTAAAGAAAAATAGACAAAAGCATTAAAAGCACTTTTTTTGAAGTTTTTATGCATTTTTCGTTGTTTATTGATTGTTTAGCAGTAAAATAGGCATATTGGAAAAATAACATGACCTATTTAATTAGTAATATAACTGTAATATAGCTAGAATATAGTTATATATAAGGGAGAATAAAAAGAACCTTAAAGAAAACCATTATGTTAAGTTTAAAAAATGTTCTCAAGTTTCTTCCATAAATCTCTATTATAGTATTTCAGAAGGCAGGATGTATAAGGGAGGATACGTAATAATAAAGAGTATTCAAAGTGAACAATTAGGGTTATTCATATTATTATTATGCGATTGAAATCTCCTAATACTATTTATGCTATATAGTCATTGGCTATAAATCACAGCGCGCTATTGTTCAAGTCAACGGTCTTTTCGGACCAAAATATTCAAAAATTTGAATTTCCAAAAGCGATTTTTTATTAAAAAATTGTCGTATTTTCCATTAAATCCGAGGCGTTTCGAGTACTTGTAAGCCGTGATCGTATAGTGGTTAGTACTTCTCGTTGTGGCCGAGACAACCCAGGTTCGAATCCTGGTCACGGCAGATCTCTGTCCGGCAATAAGTACCAAATTTTTTTGAAGTTGAAAAAACAAGAATAGACTTGAAAAAAGTAGATAAATTTGCTGTTAAGCTATACAGCATACTAATAAATTCCACCTAATGAATATTCATAATTAATACGGAAAGTATTGTTGTTCTTGAATATTGATTTTATTCATTATTATGATTATATATAGCATAAAAATAGGCCATGTCAAATTGCTGTAGTCACGAATTTTGGAAACGCCCTAAAATAATAATTAAGGACCTATTCATAGATTACTTTGCAAATATACAGTATATATATATATATATATCTTATTATATCTGTTGTCTTTGTATGTCTTTTTTCAAGTGGATATGATTTTAATAGGGCTTTTAATTATTTCATTCAAGTTTAAAAGTACATTATCAGTTTGTGTTTCAAGTTCTATGAATATTGTAGTGAAATCAAACATTCAATTCAAAATTGATAAAATATTTTATGAAGATGAATCTTTTGTTGCGGGAATGGTGTTTGCCAAATTTCCAACAGCTAATCATTCTTCTCTTGTTATACGTGACAAAAAGAATATGTTTTTAATAGATTTAAACGCAATTAACTCTCAAATTTGCGTATCGAGTGGCTATGAAAATATACAAACAGAAACCTACAGTTGTTCCAATCTTAACGGTATAATTTCTTCCAACAGATAATTATATAACCTATTAATTAAATAGATACAATAAAAACTGGTATTGCTTTACGTTGTCTATCCAGTGTTGAATGTTCAGGGTAAAAAATGATTAAGGAATTTTATAAAGCTATATTCAAAAGATGATATCTTTAGGACTTACTACGAAAATTGTAGTTTGGCAAACAAGTTTTATTCAATTTGTCAAAGATGTTATAAATTGTCAAAATTGAGTTTGTATTTCTTAGTTTATATTCATTATTGACGATATTGTTTATTGCAGTTCTTGTCTCTCCTATGGGACTTCCAACACAACAAAATTTTAACACTTTGTACGCTAGATATCAGAATAGATCTTTCCACTTGTGTCTAAATTCATTGAATATCGAAAGACTTTGTCAAAATACTTTATATAGATATGAAAATATATTTCATAGTAGCTTTTATAAGATTACTGCTAATTTAACGTTTGATGAGAAGAGACAAACATTCTATCCATCTAAAACATGCAAACTTATCAAATGTCCTAAAACATTTTCCCACAGTTATAAAACCTTACTATTGATTTATTTTGATTAAAAACTTATTGGCATTGATATTTTCAGATTATATATCATCATTCACCATTTTAGATGTTAACTATTTGTTCTTTTCCAAAAATATATCACTAAGTGCGGATATAATCGAAATTAATCCTATAGTTATTACGAAATTCTTGGGTATAGCTTCAATCAGCGTGAAAAGGAGTGCTGGTGTAGCTTCTCTAGTTCGGTTAATTTGTAAACATTTCTTCCTTTATACGAGTATAAGGAAGCCAATTGTTTGTGAATCTGGAAAAATTACAGCAAGACCATACAACAGTGTAGAATTTATATGTTCTATAAATAGTAATTCATTAAAAGATTGTCAAATATATTCTATAAGGTCGGCATTGAATTTATGCTCTATATTCTGTCAAAAAGAGAATAGCGAAGATTATCCAGGTAATTTAATCTCAATTAATAAACGTAATATAGATTATCTCATATATATATATATAGAAAATACAAAGAGATTATATATTTCACTATATAATCAAATTTATAACAACTCTTTTAAAAGTTTACCAAACAACGCTATTGTTAAATTACAAGTATTTAAAAGAGGTTTATGGCAAACAGTTTACATTCCAACTCTTCAAAAATTCTATTCAAATGTTAATAAGAATATAAATAATATATAGAAATTAGAATAATTACAATGTATTGCACCTTATAGATTGTTTGTAGACATTTTGGATTCAATTCTGGAACGTTTACTTTCTTGAATAGTATCGATCAGATATTTGATACAATTGGTATTCTTTATTGTCCAAAAAATACTACAAATCTATTAGATTGCGTAATATTCAATTTAAATGATCGATCAAAAACATCGGATATATATATATATTGTGAAAAATGGCCCAATAATAATAGTTAGTTTAAAGGATATTCCATTTAGTTAATAGCTTTATTGATTTGTTTCAAAATGTATACTGTATATAGGCTGTTCAAATGAAGATATGTTCAATTTTGAAAATAAATGCTACAAGTTACTTTCTTCAATGAATCCTTTTAGTTATATTGAAGCAAAGTCAAGATGTAGGAAGAATAATATGTCTCTTCTTAGAGTTTCATCAATAGAAAACTTTGTTGCTGTATTGCTAATGCATAATTATATCGCGTTTAACTTAGAAACTAATCATGTTTCTACGAAATTCCTTTTTCTAGGTAAAAATATAAACGTACAACAATAACTCTATCTTATCATTAATTAACCTATAAATGACCTAATTATTTAATTTTACTATAAAAATAACAGAAACAAGTGATATCAATTATCCAATTGGTAATTAAAATTTTTAGTGTTCAATTAATAATGATAATAATTGATAGATTTGACAATGATTGTCAATAATTTCAATGAGAATGTAACAGTATCTGGCAATGGAATTCCTATAGAAATTTCTGGACTATGGTTAACTAAATATTTCTTGTTGGAAAAACATATAATAATTATTAATATCATATTTTCTTTATAAAAATAACATGTCTATTTTAAACTATTAGAACAGAAACATCTTTTTCAACATGTGCTAATGATGTAAACTTCTATTTTGAAGAAATGACTTCATGGATATTTGGATATGATTGCGGATCAATTCAAAAAAATGGTTATAAGTCTTTTCCTTGTGATTTTTCCATCTTTAATCAGGTTATTTGCGAATCGAGAGTGGGCGGTTTGTAAATGAGTTTTTTATTACGGATAACAATGATAAAGTGATCATTGCTTTTTTGTATTTCTTCAGCTTTACATAACTATAATCTTAGTCAATATGACGTTCTAAATACGCCGAATTTTAAGGAATGTCCCAAAAATACTTTCCTATGCAAACCAGAATTGATATGCATCAGTCTAATGAATGTATGCAATCAAAGAATAGATTGTCCTAGCGGAAATGACGAATTAAATTGTAAAGATATAAATACTTTCATTTGCGATTCCGGAGAAGAGATAAATACAAATCTAATTTGCAATTATATTCCCGATTGTAAAGATGCCAGCGATGAAAGGAATTGCCGTATGTTTGCTTAATTAATATATTATAATTAATTCAAATGTTTGCATTTTCAGAGAAAACTTGCACACGAGTTAAAAAGTAATAGAAAAACGCACTTTATAGTTAAATTATCATTATTATTCCTATTATCACTATAGCTTTCAATGCAAAAATGGACAATGTATTGATAGTGTTAAAGTATGTAATCGGGAAAAGAATTGTATTGATGGATCCGATGAACAGTGTACAGGTAATTAGAGAAAGCTATTAGATAGAGATGGGGAAGAGAGAGGGTAGGATCATAAATTTCAATAGTTTAAACGTAGACTTATCTGTAAAAAGATATTTGCGAATCAACTTATTGTGATGGAAGATGTTTAAGAGAAGATGAATTCTGTGATTTAAGAATGATGTGTAAAGGTTTCCCTCCCCAAGACGAAAATCCTGATATATGTGTGTCAAAAATCTTTCAGACCGAAACAACAAAGCAAAAGTAAGAAAAACTAAGCCTAGTACTAATTTATGTTTGTCAAAATTATTAGACGTGATCTATGCAAAATGGAAGATATAAGATATTTATTATCAAAACTTCATACTTCTTCACAAGATTATAACAAGACTAACTGTAGATTAGAATATGATACTACAGGATTCTTACGAACTAAAACACAATTTCCATTTCAACAATTAGAGAATTGTGTGAACCAGAAATGCGATTTATATAGTTACAAATGCAAATTTAAAGGTTATTGCATTCCTCTGTCGTTAATTTGCGATGGTATAGTTCATTGTATACACGGAGACGATGAAGAGAATTGCGGTAGGTACTAGCAAACTAAATAAATTCATATATTTATATTTACTATTGTCAAAAAAGAAAATTTTCTTCCAATTGGACAATTCAAATGTCAATTTCAGAATAAATTCCTCACTTTAAATCAGATTTGCGACGATAAAATTCATTGTATGTATGGAGACGACGAAATCCTTTGTTCTCCTTTACAATGTTTACCCTTTTGTGACTGTTTTCTGCCTTATATAGTTAAATGTAACTTTGGCGATACTTTTGTATCACAGATAACATTTTCCTCTCTTATAAAACATTTAACAATAATAAATGTTAAAGTTAATCAATCAGTAATCCTTCCATTTGGACAGGAAATCACTTATTTAAATGCTTCATACGGACAAATTGAACAATTTTCTCTATCGCAAACATTGAATCTAGTAACTTTAGATCTTCAAAGAAACAAAATTCATCACTTAGATGACTTGAACAAACTTTTTATGTTCAAATTACAATTTTTAAATCTTCAATACAATATATTAAATAATGATTTAGAATTTAATAATATGCCACAATTACTATATTTAGATATTTCATACTCAAAAATTACGATATTAAATGAAAACATCTTTGGCAATTTGTTGAAATTACAAACTTTAATAATAGCTGGATGCCGTCTAAAGATTATTAATAAATTAGCATTTTTATCTATGAAACGTCTACAAAATTTGCATTTTAATCATTCATTATTAGATATAAAGACATTACTAAATAATATAAAGAATTTTGATTCAATCAGATTTATATATACAGAGAGTTTTCAATTATGTTGTATGGCTAGAAAGTATCTAAGAAACTTGAAAGATTGTACTCCAAAATATTCTGTTATTAAAACTTGTACAGATCTTCTGGGTAGTCTATTCCTTCGTATTACAATCTGGTTTATCGTTGTTGTTGGTGTTTCTACAAATGGAATTGTTATCATATTGAAAATTAAACAATTCGCCAAAAATTCGGATCTTTTCTATTTGACTTTGACCTTCTACGACTTTCTATTCGGATTGTATCTTGCTATGATTGCGGTGGCTGATCAATACTACAACGGAATCTATATCAAATACGACAACAGTTGGAGAAATAGTAGACTTTGCAGCTTTAGCGGAGTACTTGCCAGTACGGCGATTCTGTCGTCCAACGTTTCCCTATTATTGATTACCATCGATAGATACCTGGCCATTTGTCATCCGTTGTTCCACCGTCGAATCGAGTATAGAAGACTCGCTATGAAATTGGCACTCATACCGATTACTTTCTTATCCTTGTCTCTCCTGCCCATGTTTCTATTCGAGGTTTTTCACTAGAAATCAATTAGAGAATCGATTTAGACGCTAAAAGATTTGAACACAGGATTTTTATTCGAGATCAGCCGTTTGTTTCTCTTTGCATATAACGAATGAAAGAGTTAGCGGCTGGTTATATTCATTTTTGCTGTACGGTCTATTCACGTTGTTCATCTGTATAACAATATCCGTATTGTATCTATTGCTATTCAAAGATATAGCAAATTCGCAAAGTATCTTGAGTGAGAAAACAATTTCTGAAAGATTGAATAAAGTGATGGGCAGCGCATTTCTTATTGTGATCAGTAATTTAACTTGTTTGTTACCGATATCGTTATTAGGTAAGGTTTTGACTGTAACTAGGCCTTTGTATACAGTATACAAACTTTTATAAAACAGGTGTATTATCGTTTTTTGAAAGTATTAAGTTAAGTAACGAAATGTATTCTTGGGTCATTGTTTTAATTATTCCTCTTAATTCTGTAATGAATCCTTTTATATACTCTGTTCATAATTTTATTGCATATAAGAAAGATATAAAAAGTACAAAAGCTAGAGAATTGTATGAAATTCAATTGTTTGATAGTTTATTAAGTTATGATTAACATTCTATAAAAACAGAGAAAATTTAGTAAAGAATGTAAAGAAAGATTGTGAAATTCAGAGTAAATAGCAAGTGTCTTGTGTTGTTTTACCAAATTTTTTCATCCGTTTTTGTTTAGCTTTAATGTTCATGAAGAACTTGGATAAACATCACATATTATTTGCGGAACCTGTACCTAGCTTAAGAGTAGATATAACTATTGGAAAGAAGTCTTTTTTGGAGCTGTTTCTCTTTTGTAGAGATAGTTTTACAGCTTTCAATTCCGCCCATCAGAATAATTTGAGTTTGATGAATGAACTAAGTAAATTTCCGATAATAGGAAAGGTAATTTTTTATCTTGAAGAAAAACTGTAAGAGAGGAAGTTTAAAAGTAGAATATTTTGTTTTAGAAAAGGAATTTGCGAGTGGAATTTTACATTCTTCTTGAAAGTTTAAAATTTGAACCGGAAAGATTTGAATACAACAAAGATATATTATTAATTGGGCGTATTTTAAAAAAGCTCTTGAAATTTAATATATAACTAACTAGATTATATTCTAGATAGAATATTTAACAACAACAAATGCATGTTTATATTTTAATAAATTCATTGAAACGTACTAAATATCCTCCTTATTTCAATAATTACATATGTATAATATTTCACACAAAGATGATTAGTTTGTTGCAATAGAAAAATCAGTTTCAAAAATGAATGAAATTCTTTCTTATAGTTTTTTTTTAATTCAATTATTTGATATACTGTTTTGTGATTTAAATGGTAAAGGTTGTAATTTCAGCAACAAATTGGTCTATTCAGAGGAATTGAACATTGACTTTGGTCAGATTATAAGAAATGAGGAAGCATTCTCACTCGGATTAACTGTTGTTAAATTAGCGACAGATAATCAATACTATCCCATTAAACTGTCGCTATCTTCGGGAAATTTGAAAAAGTTTCTGGACATTAACAAGAAAGCTTGTTCCCAAGGAGGATATGACCACGCTTATCACGAGGGGTTCATTTGTCCAAAGATAAAGAGTATTTTGTCGTTTTCAATAGTTTAATTAGAGGAGAATACAAAGACTATTTCAGAGTTAAATTACGCAACAGTGTACTGTTATTTATCTTCAAAGTTTAGAGAAAAGTTGGAGTGTTCACTGTAAGACAAATTGATCATAAAAGAATTTATTTAACATAAAAATTACATGTCTCTGAAGGAGTATAATCAAATGTTCATCTGAAAGGGAATTACCTCTGATATGCGTTAAATGCTTTAAAATCTCTAAGCCATGTTGAATAGAATTTTTAAATACTATCATTATCCCTAATAGTTCTTTTATTTCTTTCTTGCAGTATTTTTTAAATTGGAATTAAAGCAGAATGAATACAACAAAGATAATATTTATGTAAGATACAAACAAAAGTCTTATAGACTATGTAAAAGTGAAGAGTTTACCCAACAAAAGTTATGCAATAGAATATATCTCTTTACTAAACATTTACTATCAAAAATCGTTTTACCTCCTTTATCAAATCAACCTTGGAATTTTATGAATGACAATTTATCAATAATATCAAGTTGTTATCCCATAGTTTGTAAGAAATTTGCATTAGGTTTATATTTGTATTTAATAAGGAAAATACTTCAAATTTGTTTAAATACTTAACTATATCAATTTAGCTTTAAAAGATTATAAAATTGAATATATTCATTCTTATTTGTATTCGAAGAAAATCGAATTTAATAATCGTAATGAATTATCTCTGATTGTTTCTCTATTTTCCAATTACACTTTTCCTATGAATATTTTCATTGATAAGACAGTTAAACTAACTGATATATCCTATATCGTATGTCGGAGTATGGATTTGGAATATGGTTACAGGAGACCCGAAATGTGCGATAGTGAATCTACAACTGGTTATGGTCAATCGTCATCGTTAATTCAGTGTGATTTTATGGCCCGTAGTATGAAAAATTGTAGATTTATAGTAATGGGTTTTATTCTTACGTCATCGCTATGTAAATTTCACTGTCGTAAGCCCGATAATAACCAATCGTGGAAAGGTAAAATACATAATATATTCTGCCTAAAAGCTAAAGTACTAACTTTATACTTGATTTATAATAACTAGAAAATCAATTTAGGATTTATTCATCTGAAAATTTAATATTATACAAAAATAGCTCAACTAATCTTTCAACTATTTCTGGCGAACTTCAAATATTCGTAAAAAATTTGTGGTACGCCGTCTACGTTCCACTATTCCAAAAATTTGAAGCTGACGTTAGCTAAAAAATAGCTCTATTGATTTCTTACTAAATAAATGATCATGATATTAATACTAAAATAGATCATTTGCAAGCATTTCCTTTTCAAAAATGGTACATATTTTAAGGTTGACTTTTCCAAGGAAAAGTACTACTACGAAATGAACTTTTGGTTGGAATGTGATAAAAATGTTACAAGTTTTCTTCAGTGCAGGTTAAGATATTTGAATAGAAAAACAGTTAGACAAAAAATTGGTATTAAATGCGTTCAAGAAAGTGATTTAATATGTAAATATACTGTATAAAGCTAATACTTATTATTCGTTAATGTTTCTAATTTGAATAGCTTGCAATAAAGAAAATACTTTAAGCTATGATGGAAAATGTTACATTTATCAATTTTTAAAGGAACGAATATCTTTCGATGCTAGTGAAAAAGCATGTAAGAATGTAAACATGACATTGATGTCTTTATCAGTTAGATTTAAAGTTAATATGATCTACTTATTGGATTTTTATTATAATGCGGCTGATGTTAAACTTTCCCAAGCTCAACTGTCAAAATTCTCTAGATTTAAGAAAGAACTCCCATTCGGTAAAGTAGTATTTACAAATATAGTCTTATTAATAATCAATACTTTCCTATCTCCTTTTCATTTTTAAGGAATAAAACGGTTGAAAAATATCTATAATCAATACGAAAGAACTACAACAGATAACGTTCCCTTGGACATATCTGGTTTATGGGATAACACCGCCTACATGTAAAGAAATATAATTTCTATACGAGATAGAAAAATAAGTAATCATTCATTTTGCTCAATTAGACTTTTGAGTTCTTGGCCAGGATGCTCTGTATCGTATAAAAGTCTTACAAAAAGAGTAAACCTGTTTAGGAGAGATAGTGAATGCTCTTCGATTTTTAATTTTCAATATAAGTCGGTGCCGTGCGATTTTTCTATATTTCCAATGTTGGCATGCGAATCAGGTTATACAATTTTTAAGAATACAAATCATTACTTGCATTTAAATGTGGAAAATTTTCAAAACTGTTCAAAAAATATGTTCTTTTGTCAAAAATCGAAATATTGTATCAGCATACTTCATATCTGTGACGGAGAGTTTGATTGTTTTGATAAGAGTGACGAAAGTGGATGCAATCGATTTACTTCTTTCGAATGTTCTTCCAATCAGTTTATTAATACAAATTTAGTTTGTAATCAGGTATACGATTGCTTGGATGGAAGTGACGAATTGAATTGCGGTAATCATATTGTTATTTTCTTCTTTGTGTTATAATTTATCTATTTGTAGAAGTAACTTGCGATAAAGATAACAGGTTTCTGAGTTTAAATTGTGACAATCTATTGCAGCCAACCTCTTAAATAATTTATAGTTTCCAATGTAAAGATGGCAGGTGTATAGAATCTAGTCAACTATGCGATCAAGAAAGAAACTGTATGGATTTTTCGGATGAACAATGCCAAGGTCATCTATTAAGGAAGATTTTAGTCATTAATAATAGTTTTCAAAAGCTGTTTCTTATAGAATCATGTCGTTTACCTTATTGTAATGGACTGTGTATGCAACCAGAAGATATGTGCGATTTATCAGCTGACTGTAATAACTTTCCACCACCCGATGAGAATACAGACATTTGTTCAAATTTAAATTCAAATTTATCTGTTTTTCCCAAAACAATGTAAACAAAATTACTATGAAATCATCCTCAAATAGACTTTGTTAATTAAGAAACAATTTTAACAGGTTTACATCAGAAAAACTCTGCAATTTAAAGCCTTTTATTAAGAAACTTAGTGAAAATGAACATTGGGGCAATATTAAATATCATGTGTGTCGAATACATTATTCAACAATGGGAAAATTCAAAACAAAAGCTCAAACGCCTTTTGAACATTTATCAAATTGTTTCAATGTAACATGTTTGAATGGAGAGTATAAATGTAGCGAGTATAATTATTGCCTACCTATAAAATACATATGCGACGGTATAAGTCACTGTATCAACGGTGATGACGAAGTAAATTGCGGTTTGTATTTAAAAAACAAAGCTGACAAACTTTTCAATAAAACATTCATTTTTTTTAATTTCTTAAAGCTATTTTTCAACCGATTGGTTATTTCCGATGTAGAAATCAAAAGACCTTTATTCCCCTTACTGAGGTATGTGATGGAAAAATTCACTGCTATTTTGGTAACGATGAACTTCTTTGTGATAAATTTGAAAAAATATTTTGTCCTACTTTCTGTAAATGTAAAACATTTTACGAAGTTGAATGCTCTCTTAACGAAACTCTTTTTAATAATTTAACTATTCATCAACCAATTAAACGATTACAATTATTTCGAATGCATAAAAAACAAATTATAAATATTATATATAACAATCATTTAACATTCCTCAATCTATCATTTAGCAATATTGACACTCTACCATATTTCAATGCTAGAAATCTAGTAGTTTTGGATCTAATGGCAAATAAACTAACATCTCTACATCAACTATTAAATTTCCATTTGAAACTATTACAATATTTAAATATTGCTAATAATCCATTACAATTGATTACTGAAAACATCTTTATAAAATTAACTAATTTGAAACATATTAATATTTCTGGTATTCAAATTATATCTCTAAGAAAACATACATTCAAAGGTCTAATATCTCTAGTAACTTTGAAAATGGATAAAACTACAATTAATAATTTTGATGAAAGATCATTTCAGTTTCAAAACAATCTCAAAATTCTTTCAATGAAAAATACATATTTTCATAAACAAGTTTCTCCATTGTTTATTAAGAAATTATTCCATTTAGAGAGAATCTATTCTGAAAGCTTTATTTTCTGTTGTATGGCTAGAAAGTATCTAAGAAACTTGAAAGATTGTACTCCAAAATATTCTGTTATTAAAACTTGTACAGATCTTCTGGGTAATCTATTCCTTCGTATTACAATCTGGTTTATCGTTGTTGTTGGTGTTTCTACAAATGGAATTGTTATCATATTGAAAATTAAACAATTCGCCAAAAATTCGGATCTTTTCTATTTGACTTTGACCTTCTACGACTTTCTATTCGGATTGTATCTTGCTATGATTGCGGTGGCTGATCAATACTACAACGGAATCTATATCAAATACGACAACAGTTGGAGAAATAGTAGACTTTGCAGCTTTAGCGGAGTACTTGCCAGTACGGCGATTCTGTCGTCCAACGTTTCCCTATTATTGATTACCATCGATAGATACCTGGCCATTTGTCATCCGTTGTTCCACCGTCGAATCGAGTATAGAAGACTCGCTATGAAATTGGCACTCATACCGATTACTTTCTTATCCTTGTCTCTCCTGCCCATGTTTCTATTCGAGGTTTTTCACTAGAAATCAATTAGAGAATCGATTTAGACGCTAAAAGATTTGAACACAGGATTTTTATTCGAGATCAGCCGTTTGTTTCTCTTTGCATATAACGAATGAAAGAGTTAGCGGCTGGTTATATTCATTTTTGCTGTACGGTCTATTCACGTTGTTCATCTGTATAACAATATCCGTATTGTATCTATTGCTATTCAAAGATATAGCAAATTCGCAAAGTATCTTGAGTGAGAAAACAATTTCTGAAAGATTGAATAAAGTGATGGGCAGCGCATTTCTTATTGTGATCAGTAATTTAACTTGTTTGTTACCGATATCGTTATTAGGTAAGGTTTTGACTGTAACTAGGCCTTTGTATACAGTATACAAACTTTTATAAAACAGGTGTATTATCGTTTTTTGAAAGTATTAAGTTAAGTAACGAAATGTATTCTTGGGTCATTGTTTTAATTATTCCTCTTAATTCTGTATTAAATCCAATTATAACTACACTGGAATATTTTATGAAATATATAAAAGAAAGACGAAAAGAGCAACTTATGGAAATGTTTATATCTAATTTTTAATCAATTTTATTGTCCTGTCGTGTTTTTTAAATGCTTAAAATGACTTTTACAGAGAATATGCTATTAGAAAAACAAAATTGGAAAGAGAATATCAAAGTATGCCTTGTAGAATTTCGTTAGTTTATTGATATATAACTCGTTTTTTATTTAGTGATATGTTTAATGAAAAACTTAACCAAATTTCATATTTATCACGAAGATATTAAAGAGACGTTTGCGACGTTTTGTCAAAGCTATTCTAGTTGTATTGGGTTACTATTGCGATTTTGTCAGAATATTTCAAAAGCATTATCGGCTATGCACGATAATAACCTTACTATTGATAAATCAAGGACACAGTGTACATTCTACTATCATGTATTTTTTGTTTGTTGTTTGTTATCCAACTAACATTTTTAACATGCATTCTTGGTTCAAACAGACGAGGAAGATGAAATTCTACGTTCTACTAAGCCATATAACTTATGCTTTGGATGATAATTTCGTTGTTAGCGACATAAAGATATTGGGAGATAGTTTACGAAAAATGATGCAAAAGTTTTCTCAAAAGAATATATGACTTGCAGGATATTATTTCAGAATACTATGCATGTATAGATAGAACTTTTAGTAGGCTAGAATAAGGTTATCAAGAGGTTAAATCTCACCTGAAAAAATACATATTTTCTATTGTATATACATTTATTATCATTGTTAGACTTTCTTATCCTAAATTCATAATTTATAAAGGAATGAAATATAGTTTTTATTCATAAATCTCAACTTGTTTCACTTTGATAAAAAAGTAAATTTTCTAATCCTTTATATGATTGATTATCTTCTTTTATTGAATAACTTCATTTATAGAAGTATTATAATCAATATAAAATTGTAAAAGGTAAAAAATGTACGACCGCGACGAGACTCGAACTCGCAATCTTCTGATTCGAAGTCAGACGCCTTATCCATTAGGCCACGCGGCCGGTTCAATTAACTTTGGCTTTCTATCGATCATACTACAAAGTATGGGATTAAAGTCTCCTATTTTTGAAAAATGAAATATTTGCATAAAAAATTAGTATTCTTCATTTTAACAAACCTTACAAATATTATCATATAGTATCAATGAAAGATTAAAGAAAAGCCACTTTTCCCCCTTGAATTGATATATTTTCTTATTTTTCCTTAATTGATATTCATATCAAAGGATAAGATAAAAATAAAATTTATTATATTATATATTAGAATCTTTCAAAAAGCGTTATATTGGCAGGATTAACCGTAGAAATCCCAGTTAGTCTAGTGGTTATGATTCCCGGCTCTCACCCGGGCGGCCCGGGTTCGATTCCCGGACTGGGAGTAATTATTTTTGTTGTTGTTGTTATAAAAATATAAAGACGTTATTTGTTTACCAAAATAAGACGGTTGTTGTTAAATATATTCATAGACTAGGTCAAAGAACTAAATGTCATAGGTTAGAAAATCTCTGAAAGCTGTGATATACTTTAATGTCATTCCTTAATTAGTTTTCATTGTCCAGGTTATATAGATTTGCATAGAGTATGTTTTTGAAGGATATCCGATCGGTTTCTGTTTTCAAATACAAAGATTCCCTTGAACTTCAATCTTCATAGATTCTTGTTTAATAGTATCATGATTGTTTGCAAATATTTTGAATAAATTTATTCATATTTTCATCTTCTAACCTCAAATCAGGAATTGTTTTACAACTTTAATTCTTCTACTAACTCATCAAATTGAAATGATCAATCTCTCTCTTTCCTTCTCAAGTCAATTGCCAACTTGTTCATCTTTTCAGAGATTTTATCAGTTAATGAAAGAAAATACTTGCATATATTAAAAAAGAGTAATTTGAATCTGTCTTTAACAAACTACAATTATTAGAAAATTGTTGTTGCTAAGAAGAAAAAGAATTTGGCCTATTTGCAAGATATTCAATAAACTTTCTCTTTATAGCTTTTTGTAAGGTATGAATTAAACAATTTTTGAAAAATAGAATTAAAAATGTTAACAACAGAGAAAGCCTTGTTTGAATAGAGTTAAAAACACCATTTAATCATTAGATTCCGTTCTTACCGATTGGATTGAGCTTCAAAATTAAAATGCTTCAAATTTTTCATTATCTTCTCTTCTTTGTTTTTCATATTCAAACGTTCAGGTAAATGAAAAATTAATTACCTTTCCAATATATTTAATAAAATTCAACATTGAATTGCTAAACAGTTGTTCAAGATTGAACGGATATGAACTTAGTGCTGAACATAAGCTCATTGGAGATTTGTTAAATGAGTACGATAGAGGACATAGATCAGCCAGACCATTAAGAGTTTGTTCTACATTACTTTTCTATATGAAATGAGAGAATTATAGAGTTTTTTTTAAAAACAGGATTCTACTCATGCATTACAGTTAAATATGACTTTGTTCTTGTTACGTTTAATAGACTTGGATCCTAAGGAAGAGGTGATGACCTCCATCGTTGAAGTTCACTACAGTTGGATTGATGAATTTTTAACATGGAATAAAACAAACTATGATAATCTGGATATGATATCAATAAATATTCACGAAATTTGGAAACCTAGTGTTATCGTGACAAACTTGTAAATTTTCTTATCCTTCAAATCTTCAAAATTGGAACTAATAGAATAATTTTTATAGAGTTGAACCGAATAAGAATTTCTATCCAATTGATCAAGCTATTGTTCATTCATCTGGTAAAGTTTTCCTCGAGCAAATAGAGATTCTTAAAACGTTTTGCGAAGTAGATATTACTTATTTCCCTTTTGAATATGAGGTTATCTATTTATTTTCTCTACTTTAAAACCTATTCTTTCTGTTTATGTTTACTTTTATTCAAATTCTAAAGACTTGCGAACTTATCTATGGAAATCTAGTACACGATAGTGACGCTGTACACATAAATTACGTTCCATATAGGAACGATTCATACGAAGGATTTCACGGATTTTCCGACAAAGAAGACGAGTGGCAAATTCTTGAAACTAAACATACTATTTATAGAAATTATTCAAAGGCAACAAATCTGAACAAGCATTTTACTGTAATGATATTTTCAATAAGCTTAAAAAGAAACGCCGGTAATAATTTTAATTAACTAATGAATATTCATATTAAAAATTTATATTTATATAGTGTTTTTGGTTATTGTATTGTTTCTTCCTTGTTTCCTATTGATATTCTTAAACCTCTTATCGACATTTATTCCACCAAACTCAACCGAAAAAGTTAATTTGGCTTTAAGCGTTTTCCTGAGCTATTTTGTACTATTGCTTATTGTTATGGATCATATACCATTGGGAAGGAGGGTACCTGCTGTTGGTAAATAATAATTTCCATTTATTTCATATATTCTACATCTTATTACGTACAAATAGGAGAGTTAATTAGTGCAAGTTCCGTTATTATTGCATTGAATATTATCACCTCCACACTTGTATATAATATTGCGCTAAAAGGAGATAGGGATGCAAAAGTTCCCGAAAAGATTAAGAGGATAGTTGTCAAATTGAGAAAATATTTACTCATTCCGGTAAATTACTACATTTCTGATGATGGATATGAAATTTCTGCCGATGAGCAAATTCATCTTGAAGCCTTTGATGAAGAGGAAACAAAGATGCAACGTACAATTAGATTAGCAAAAAAGAATCGCGCTAATTGGTTATTATTAGCAGCAGTTGTCGATAGATGTCTCTTCTTTGTTTATCTTATATCGAATATCCTAATAAGTATATGTATATTTTTAAGTCCAATATAGATTAAATACTGAAATGGAGAAAACGGGTATTCATATGATATAGATAAAAGAAGTTCTGCATTGTAGTGTTCTCGGAAGTATTCATTCAATTTAGAATGTTTTGTTAACAACTATCCTAATAGTCACGTTTCAATAACATAATTAAGTAGTTTCGTTAATAAATAGATTCATAATGAAGAAATGTTCGAGTAAATATTACATATATAGTATACCGTATAATAAATTCAAACAGACTATATACAGTATATACGAATTTCTCAATTCATTAATAACTATCGATAGTAACGATATACAACATCTTTTTACGTTGAATAACGCGTTCCTTACAACAAGAATAACAACAACAATCTTCAAACAGACGTATCATTTCCGTTCTAAATATTCTTCCGAAGAAACAATAAAGAAGAAAATTAAGAACGTGATTTAATGAATTAAGTAAAACTAGAATTTCGAATATAAACTTTTTTAATAATGACGTTTGAAAATCTTTACTAAAAAATCTATAATAGACATTATAAATTTCCAATGGTAATGTAAATACAATAAAACTTGATGATAAAACTATTGATAGTATTGTTAATCTTTTAGCTCCTAATCTCAACTTACCTACACATCCATTTATACTATTCAATGTCTGATTTCTAGTATATTTCCTTAATTGAAGAGTTGTTAGACAGTTCATTACGGACATTGAAATAAATGGAAGTATAACGTAAATAACATTATGAAATGGAGCAAATATTCCATAAAAGAAATACTGAGACTTTTTACTCTTTGGTAAGCATTCTAATCGAATATTTGATAATCTTATAGCTCTATCTTGAATAAAGAAAATAAAGAAATCAATAGCAATAGCGTAGAACGTAATACACGAAATTATCCTATTGCATAACTGTAAAGTTGAGAAAATTTTAGTCTTTGCCGGATAGGCAATACAAATATAACGTTCTACTGTAATAGCAATAAGACATAGAGAAGAAATTTGACTAAACGTTGTTATGAGAAACCACCAAAGTTTACAAAAAATCCATGTAAAGACTTCTTCAGATATGCTATCAATAAAAAAGAAATAGCCAGCTCTAAGAATTAACGTAAACGTAACCATTAAATCCGAAAATGTAACCATAGCAATAAAACGAAATGTTGTTGTTTTCCACAAGTCTCTTTTAATTATTGTAACTAGGGAGATTGTATTGAATAATATCCCAAAAAGTAGTGCTATAGGGAAACATACATAGGGAAATATTCGTGGATTAAGCCAAACAAATATATTCTCTTCACCCTCTTGTACAGTCGTTGTATTATTCAAATTTATCATTGTTGTTCAAGATCAAATTTCTCCAAAATAGAAGAACGACTAGTGTCCTAAATGATTGAAAATGAGGCAAAAACTGATGAGAAGCATAATGAGTAGTTCCTTTTTAATAAAAGAGAAATAAATGACATGGAAAAATTTTTGTTTGATCAACGAAACGTATTTTCACAGAAGAAACAACTGAAAAGAAGAAGGAAAGACCAGCTGTACCTTTAAATATATTTCTTTTAATTAAAACTTTCCATATATACATGTATTTACAAACTTATTTACTACTTGGCCTGTTTTAATGGCAATATTAATGCAGCATTGCATAAACGGAAGAGATGAATATAATAAGAAAATATAAAAAGAAAAAAAAAGAATCTCCGTGACGGGGAATCGAACCCCGGTCTCCTGAGTGACAGTCAGGGATACTCACCACTATACTATCACGGACATATTAAATTCAACTCTTGTATACAACAATCAATTATATTATTTATTAAAAATAAGATAACCTCTTTGGATTAAAAGAAATACAGTATATAGAGTTCAATCAAGTTAACGTCTTTCATATCAAGCCAAAATATTTGGGTATATAATCTATATAAAAGAAAAAAAAATTAACCTCCGTGACGGGGAATCGAACCCCGGTCTCCTGAGTGACAGTCAGGGATACTCACCACTATACTATCACGGATATACAAATGATGATGTAAAATTCTAGAAATTACGTAACATTTCTATACTTTATATAGTTTCTGTTAGAAAGAGATAGATGTAGTTGATAAGTGACATTAATATTATTACGTCAGAGTTAAAAGTTAAGACAATAGACTCTTTTAAAGATTGTACCGTTTTCAAAGCGACTTTACTTGCATAATATGATATTAAGTACAGTAATGCCACCTGTATAGTAAAATTTCTACACAATCTACATTGTTAAATTAGCTCTAAGATGTTGTATAATAATTATTTACATAGACTAAACGGGTATGTTTAAAAATAATGAAGACCAAAAGAAGAAGAAATAAAAAAAATATGAACCTTTGCCGAAACCCGGGATCGAACCAGGGACCTTTAGATCTTCAGTCTAACGCTCTCCCAACTGAGCTATTTCGGCTGGTTGAAAATATAGCCTGGTAACTACACTGTATTTTATAGGGGCCAAAATTTTATAGCTAAATAGAGATTCATACGAAAAAAACAGACAAAAACGGATAGGGCAGAGACTCGGAAGAAAGTTGCGTGATAAGGTATTAACTTGTTAGCTATAGGACATATTTGATGGTATAAATCTTTATGGTAACCGGTAATAAAATATCAAAAAACCCAAGTTAAACATCGTAAACATTTCGTACGAAAAGGATCAATCATCAATTCGGCATAAGACAGTAAGGCGGTCATTGACCGGGAATATTCATCAACTTTTTTTCCAGTTATAAATTTGCTGATATATTCAATTTATTTAGATGAAAAAACACTCTACTTTTGGTTTAGAAAATGAAAGTCAGTGAACCAGTTTTCTTGGAAATAACTGTCCCAGTTAAATCCCATTTGCGTAGAATATTAGGCAAATACACACTATATTTATAACAGCATATAGCGATCCCATAATTGTTATATTAAGTTAGGTTTAGATTAAAAATTCGTAAGAAACCGCCTACATAAAACTATAAAAGATTTATTTGAAAAGTTTTCAGAGAGCATTTTCATTTGGCAAGTACAGAAATATTATTCATAAAACGACATTAATAATTAGAAGAGTTTAAACGAGACAATAACAATAAATATTACATTATTAATTATTAAACTATAAGAAAAAGTATTAAAGTTTCCACTATTTGAATTAATTTCGTATTCAGATGCTAAAAATTATAAAAAAGAGAGAATTATTAATATTTTTGCCTTATGGAGAATTTAATTGTAAAACCTGTTTTGCAGACATCTTTTCCATAATTTTCAATTAATTTATTATGCTTCTTACATTTGTCTTCGAGGTTGTTGAAGCATCTTGTAAATTTTTTAAACTGTTCACAACGAGATTTTCTACTGGAAGATTGTTTTTCTAACATTATATCTTGACATTTCTTTAGGGGAACGTTACATCTTTCCAAATTTACTACGACCCTGTCCTTCCTATGAGTTTCTGTTACAAATAGAATGTATGTAAACTGATTTACGCTATCAACTTCCATCTTGGATGATTGCATATAGTTGACCTATTTAGGTTTTTACTTGAAACAAGTCACTGGTATGACGTGGTTTAAATAGATTAAGAAATAACGTCTACTATGGGATTATAAATATATCTCTCTTGGAGAAATCCCTCAGTTTTAGTAGAAAGAAAGGTACGGGGCTAAGAATAGCTGCCCGGTACTATACACACACATACGATATATATCTATTTACCGTATACATCTTTACCTTGTAAACAGAGTCTCCTAACATATTCTCTGGTTCCTGTAATGGCTGCCCTCGAACATATATGAGGAACTAACCCTTCTACACAAGTCAAAATTTCTCTATAAATTCTACATTCGCTTTTAATTTCATAATTTCCAGTTTTAGGATTTGTAGAATAGGTTTTAACATTTTTCGAACAATTCTCAGTTAATTCTGAACATTTTCTCCGATCTATCGCCTCAATTACAAGCGTAATAGCTATAATCGATAAGAACTATATATATTAAACATATTTTTAATTAGCAAACAATTCAAAATATCTTACTTGATATAAGAATAAAACAGTAAATCAATTCAAATTTCATTATTTTGTATCTTTGTAGAGAAAAATCGCAAAACTGCTATCTGCTACGGTATTTAGTGGTGACCAAGAGGATTCTGGCCTGTATATATATACTCTATATCATGAAAAACCGCTTTCAAAATTCCTGGAAAACACTGAGTGAGAAAAAAATCCTCCGCTTGAGGGATGAATACATTATACTTCCTATAGAGTTATATAGTGAGAGATTTTCCTATATTTCAGCACTTTATAAGTATTGGTTCAACTTATTAATCATAATATAAGAATAGTATAATTGTATATCAACATTTACTATATAAAATATATATGAATTGTTTTGTCTGCTTGCCAGACTTTTCAAGAGACTACAGTTATACCAAGTTCATTCACCAGGAAAGATACAAAAGGCAACATTGTCTTATTTTTGTGTTTTTGTTTTATAAGTTTGGGTAAAAATGAGCCTAGATGTTGTATTTTTTCTTATAATTTCATTTATTATCCAAAAATTGGGCAAAACTGCCTTTGTACTTACTTGAATGAAAGAAGTGTTCAATAATTTTGTAGATTTATCACCGAAAGCAAGAAATTAATTAATGAATCGTGTTTATTCAAAAAACATAAGAGGGATAAAAGTATAAAGGTTTATTATTAAGTCTAATTATGGTATTACTAAATAGATAACGTTTTACATCATTTCATATTTAATGTATACATATTAAAAACTACGATAAGCATACAAACAAAACTACTTTATAGCATCTTGATTCTTCTTCTCAAAATAGGACATTTAAGAAATTTGAATAGATCAAATAGATAGCCGATAATATTACCATGCAATAACCCTCTTTCGATGAATTATAAAGCGAATTGGACTTGTTAGAGCTACATTCGTGTTTGGTATTGTAGCCATTATCTCCGGAACCTGCAGAAAAGATGTATTAAGGAATGTTTTATATATTTTTATAATATATATATAAAAGAAAATGGAAAAATAGATAGAAATTCATAATTACAAGTAATATCTAGAGGACCGTATAGCTGTTCAATATTTATATTAAAATAGTTGCATTGTTTTAAAGCGTTCTTTTGACAATTCCATAATTTACATTTCTCATTCGCTTTTATTCCATTACATCTTTCTAACTGGCATTTACAATCTGTAAAAATATTATTCTGGCTTAGAAAATACTCCTTTTGTTTTAGGAAAATTAGAAATTTTCTATCCTACCTTTCGAACAGATTTGTGTTGGTAATTCTTTATTTTGTCGAACAATCTCACTTGGGCAATGTTTTACTTTTTGTAGACAATCGGTAAAATCTTTATGTAGAATACATTGTTTGTTAACGCTGAAAGTTTCTCTCATTGAATTTCTTATTCCGTGATGAAGGGGAAGTTGACAATTTTGTATTTCTGAACTACATTTATTTATGTCAATTGTACATTCGACTCCATAGCCCAAGAAATAGATTAGAGAACCTTAAAAAGACAGTTTTTAAATAGTTTAACAAACTCTTATATTATGCAATAAGAAAATTGAAATTACCGGCTAAAACCAAATGTAACCTTTGATATTTCATATTCTATTTGCTTCTTTCCGTTACTACAGTGAGAGTGGTCTTGGCAGGAATATCGTGTCCTGTTTGTCGGACTCTAATATATACGCTAGCCATTTTAGTAGTATTCTTTATGATTTTAGCGCCATCTATTAGATAAACTTGTTCATTCTCCGGTCATTGACCCAAAATTCTAAGAAACTTAGTCAGTCTATCAAATAGTAACGATCTCTCTTATCGGCATAGATAAGTTGATTAAAATTCAAAATAATGGTTCATCATTATATAACCTATAGAAATAATTGAAAATTATTTAACAAATGCCACAAAAAAGTGAATGTTTGCAGAGTAAAGTCTATTGGCAGTTAGTCGCATTTCCAAGAAATAATGAGCCCGGTACTACATGCGAAATGCTTTTTCCAGTTTTCAGACTAATTCGAGATGGTCACTAACCCTGTTAAAGGACTTGATCAAAAGTATTTACTCCACCTATCATAATCATAAAGGAGACAATAGCAACAGCAATAGTCTTGTTTCTGTTACAGTTTTTGCAGTAGATAAAGGAAATATCAAGAGTGGAATTTGAGGTCAATAGCCGTGTTTTTAGTCATGTATGTATATTTGACTATCCTTAAACTATGATTCTTTGAATAATATACTTAATTTATTCTCTTTAAACAATAAGAGACACGCCTTTTCGAAAGAAAAGTAAATATACTAGTTTATTGTTGTTACATAGCACCCAAAATGATTAATAATAAATAGACGTGTTTCTTTCAAATAAAACGAAATATATGTGTACTTTCCTGCTGAGGTTGTAGGTAAGTACTGGTCCAAATAGAACCGAACCAGGAGTAAGCCACTTAGAAGAGAGATGTAGAATTGATGAAGGATGAATATAGAACCAAACCGTAAGAATAATATAACTGTATTCTAAAGTAATACTAGACCTGTTCACTAAGGGAGTTGATTCAGGACTGAATGCCTGTTACTGCCTACACCCTGCTTTTATACAATTCCTTATCAGTTGTTTATGCCTTGGCTGTCAACAACAAGGGTCTAACCCCAGATAAGGATTGTTCACAACAAACAGGGTCAAGGGTTATCATATTATGCAATAGTGATGTAAACAACAACAACTTTGTGTAGGTTACCCGTCAAGGGTCAATCCTTACATCATATTTATGTAAATAAACACTTGTTGTTGTTGTCAACATGTTTGTTGTGTAACATCTTATCCTTTGCCTATAAAAGGGGTTGATTCTGGCAGTTCGGTACCATCTACCCTAGAGGCAACATCTACTTCAACACTTCTACCATATAGTAAGTATCATTTATAAAATATCTATAAACTATAGTTCATAAGTGTACAATATGTATTCTTCATTAAGAAATCATTCAACATTACTTAGTTGTTTCTTTCTCTATGTTCATCACTCGTCATCTACCTTTAATTGAAACATTGAAGGTCATTTCCAAGTATTTCTTTTATCCAATTTATAGAATTTTTAATCTGAAAAGAATACGATAAAACCATTTATTATAATTAAAATATATGTCTTTCATTGTATTGTTAATACGTCTGTTTGTAAACTAATAGTATTTAGGCGGTTGTTCTCGAATCCAATAAATTCATAATTCCCATTTAAAGATTTACAAAATGTCGACGATCCCAATACTTTTGTCTAGAATTTTATTAATAAAGTTAATTAATAAATTTATCTATTATCTATTATTACTAATTACTAACCGACAAACTTATATTCGAAAATGATAAACAAGCATATGTCCCAAACGCTATTGTTTTATTTAATTGTAGAATGTCTTGGCATTGTTCATTATTATTCAATTTCCCTTGAACTCTTTCAATTGAAATAGTTGATTCATCTGCAACATTTTGTTTTAGCTATAAATTCATTTATTCAAATTATTAAATACCAATGTTTGAGTAAAATGTATAGCATAAATTGTTACTATTCGGTTGAAAATTGGCTTTTGGTAAGCAAATTGGCCATATTGAATGTGTAAAATTGACAATTGTATCTAAACGAAGGATCGCTATATCATTTTTCGCAATTGTATCCAAATAGAAATCAGGATGGATAAAAGAAATGGACGTTTTAACTTTTCTTCTAAAAAATTTTCCATCATCTTCAATGTTCAATACGATAAAAATTGAATCTAATCTGAATTGAACAATACGCTATTTAAATATCATTTTTTCATATTCTAAGATAATTGTTACCCAAGTACGCATTTTGCAGTAGTTAAAACGTATCTTTCGTGAATGAGAACTCCATTACAATGAAAAAAACTCTCGTACGATTCGTATCCGACGACAACCTGTTTAGTTTTTAGATATTTTATCAATTTGAATCTAAAAATAGAAATGAAATTGAACGAACCTGCCAAGGAATATTTTCAAATATATTTCTGTTATCTAAAGTGAAGAATTTATCAATATTTCCAGTTTTCTTACAAATTCTATCGAAATTGAAATGATTCATCAAAGATTTATCTTCCGGAAAGAAATCTATTTTAATGAAAAAGTATGCATTCTATTAGATTTCTGATGTTATTATTATAAACCTTTATCGTTTCTTTCGCAGGAACCAAAACGAATATCATCAATAACAAGAAAATTCCAATCTTTTGTCAACAATTGCACCTCAAACATAATCTTTTATCGGATAGACGAGTTTTAAAGAATTAATTAACTAATTAATTAATAATTAAAAGAGACCTGATTAAAGTTATATTCTGGATAAATAAAATATTCGTCAAAGTTTCTACTTTTACAAGAAAATAGCTTTCGACTTTGAATATCTCTGAGAAAAGTAAATAGTAGATTATTATCATTTTATTCTATTCTAGTTAATCCTTTACCTAAAGTGATTATGTTTATCATATAATATAAACGTTTTAAAACTCATTATTGATGATAAATCGAAGAAAACTGGACCCATTTTAAAATAGATACAAGTTGAAGAAGAGAGTTTAACATTGACTTTTGGTGAAATGATTCTCGATGCATCATTCACTTTCGTAAATATTCCAAAAAGACGCATAGCGTTTGCTAGGAAAATTGAAATATTTTATACCTTTATCTTTTCTATATATTTTCTAATTACAATGAAAGAAATTATTCTCAAAATATCTAAACCATTCCAATTGTTGATAAATAGGATTTTCAATAATATAACCGCACATTCCTTCATCAAAATTACATTCTAAGTTGAAAGATGAGAAACTTTGTTACTTAGTTTGTCATAGTTTTTATGTCTTTTACCTATACTTTCACTTTCAAACATTTCCGAATGACAACCTTTAGAAGTATGTAAATATAGTTCATTTAGAGCGAGGGTATTCTTATAGCTATCTTTCCATATAGCTTTAAATATAATCTTAAAGAAACAATATCTATATATATATATATATATATATATGGCAAAACACTTATAAAGTATTAAAATATCAACTTTAAACGTTCTATTTATTGGTAGATTATAAATAATTCCAGAATCCCATCCATGTTCGTATTTAAACAATTCGTAATTTTTCCAAATGTACTGTTTTCCATTTTCAATATCTAAATGTATCTTTCATTTTGATGTAATTAAAAGAATTAATTATCTCTCCGTTAACATTTTAATATCTTACATTTAATAAGATGTTATCATTTAAAGATTTAAATGTAATTTCTGAACAGGAAGCTTCCTTTAAAAATATTTCGGTAGTTACTAAAATAGACATGGCATTTTCGAGTAGACTATTCTTCTCCATATGAATAAGTGAGAATCTATCGCCTGAATAGTATATTCTATCTATATATTAAAATCAATTTATTAATATTCTTTAACGTTTCTTACACGGTTTCGAGAATAAACTCAAGAATTTATTTTCGTAGGAATCAACCCATTCCCAAGTAGCCACTTTACCGCCAATAAATTTAACGTTAAAATCACAAAAATCATTACGAAACGAACATAAAATCTTTGTTATATTATCTTTTTTGCAAGATGAATAATTGACTTTTATACTACGAAGAATGAGTTGTTTACCAATTTCTGACGTAGATGATTTACTCTCAAGTATAAACTAATAGAGAAAATATTTACCTTTCTTTCTATGAAAGAATGAAACGTTAAAATAAAAGTACCTGCGTTGTATTTGATGGTAAAGTTATATAAGTATTGTATAAACAAGTATTCAACTCTTGAACATTGCTAGAAAAAGAGATATTTTTAATTGAATTGTAACTTTTCAACTATATTTAACCTAGATTCGTTTATTCCATTCGATTTCAGATAGAGTGTCATATTAAAACTATTCGAATCGATTGAATCGAATTCAAGAAACAAACATTTTTCCATAGATTCATTTAAAATAGGCGATTTTAATATCGCAATTTTATCTTCTATTCGACTATCTTCCAATAATCTTAAACAATTATTTTCATTATCTACAGATATTAGAAATAAACGAATGAAATAGTTTGTTAATTTATCTAGAATAATTAACTTTTCTAACCAAAATTGTAATTTATCCATTGCCATTCAAAGCTACTTTGGAGATTATTATCAATTTCGTATCCGCAAGTACCATTTTGAAAATTGCAGTTGGTTGAATGAAATTCTTTGAACATATTTTATAATATAAGTAATTGAATTATAAAAGAGAAAATTATGAATAATAACCTTGTTCATCTTTTATGAATTTTGGACATTGTTCATCAGTCATTTCAATATTGTCTAATCCTATAAAACTAAACCATCTACCGTAGCAAATACCTTTAAAATGTACCTATTTAATTATAAAATAGAGAATATAGAGAAAGTTAACAATGAAAAGTATTGTTTAAAAATGTCTACTTTAAAGTCGGTTTCTTCGTCAATTCCAAGTTTTTGTTGTTTAACTTTATCATGTACATTTTCAGTAAGAAATCCAATTGCTTTCGTAGAGTTATCTCTATAGCTCAAATATATCTAAATACAATTGTAAAAAATATACAAATATATCATTATGAAATATTAATTATGGACAACAAACCGACAGAACGCAATTTCCAAGAATATCAATATTAAAATTTATACAACCGGATATTGGTCCTCTTATCCACGGTGAAACTAAGATGCTAACTTTTTCGTTAGTTTCTCCTGAAAGTATGGTTTCTAATCGTTTTTCGCCTATTTTCAAGTAAAATTTCCTTTTGTTTGAACAGTATTCAATATTGAAATTGATAATAAATGTTTACATTTTAAATTATTTTGAGGAAATTTTCTAATTTGCCATTTAAAATTATCATTAAGATTATAAATTTCATAGTGACATAAATCTTCGTTAAAATCACACTTTAAATAATCTTTGGGCTTTAGCTGATGAAATTCTTTTTAGAGAAGAGAAATTATCATTTGCTTATATACTGTTTATATAGGATATTAAATATTATAACCCTTTATACCTTTGCAGGAACCTTCTTCAACAACTGTCCTCAAAAGATTAAAAGATGACGGTAACCCCAAAGATCGAGCATGAAATTTCAGTTGTTCAGACGTCGTAGGTAGATTAACGCAAAAGGTTCGTTTGCCACAAGTATTAGGTAATTGAATGAAATGTTCTAGTCTAAATAATTGAACAAAAGAAATTATATAACTTTACTATTCAACTTGGAAAAAGAATCAAACAACTCGAAATATTCTTTGTTCAGACGTTTTTCATAAATAAATATCTTTATATTCTGAATTTGTTCTCCAAACAATAATAACCTTGATGGTTTTGAATATCTATATATAGGTGAATGTAGGACAGCACCAATGTCAACTTTTTCAATTGTTTCAATTGGTTGTTTGAAGTAGTTTAAACAAAGATATCTTGGTAATTCTATTATTATCAATTAGAAAGTAAATTATTATGATATTCTCTAAGAAAGAACACCTTTAAATTGCCATTCGAATATATTCCATAGAGTTGTAATTGGTGTAAAACCGCAAAAATTAGATTTAAAATTACAATTAAGACTGTCGTCTAAAAGAATATTAACACTAAATATACCGTAGATAAGAACAAAAAGCTTCTTTACCTTGCGTTTCCATTAATTTGTTACTGTTATTCCGAGTATCAAGAATACTCAAATTATCTATCGCTAAGAAATCCTTGAATGAATTCGATGTAGAAGATTCGTACACGATAAGCTTAAAGATAATCTGTAAAAGGTTTAAACAGTAAATTACCTTAATAGTCTTAAATCTAGATGACAGATTAATTACCTGAAAATTCTCTTCAGTTTTAAATGGTATAGTTATACTTGTCCATACTTTTGTATTAGTATTGATAGTACCAATAGTTTTAGTAACATTTTTCGTCGATAGGAGAATCTTTTATGATTGTTTAATTAAATAAAACTTATTCATTTTATTAGATTTAGTTAATTACTTACATTAAAGAAGATGTTTGCAGAGCTTTTAGTCCATAAATCGAATGTAATAAATTTTTCCTTCCTACCGATTAATACTGGTAAAGTGAGAATATAAATTCCAGAACTACCTCTTAAATCAAATTTTAAAAATGGATTTGCTAAAAAGAAAGAAAAAACCAAGGAATTGAACCATAAAAAACCAGTTTAAACTATATAAAAAAGATACAACTGTAATATTTGAATTGATAAGTATTTTTGAAAGTTTTAATAGATGCGTATGACGAAAATATGAGGAAATGATACGGTAATTGAATTTGCCATGAATTTTTAAAAGTATTTTCAAATTGGAGTAGATGCTTTTGATTTAAATTACAAAAATCACAGGTAAAATCACAAATAACACCTAAAAATATGAATTATTATATAATTATTAAAATATTATGTAATCTATTAAATGTATATGGCTTAACTCTTTGTTAAATTTGTATTGAAATTGCATATTTCGTTATGAATTAATATGCTTTTTATTGATAATCTTCCTTCCTTTAACTTAGAGTTCATTGCAACCAGTTTAATCTTGTAAATATTAAATATTACTCTTACATTCTATTCTTATTTATCAATTAACTACCTGAACTACATTTCCTTGTAGTTTGTGCTGAATTTTCTTATTAATTCTCTTACAAGAATCAGTATATTTCCAATTTTTATCTAATCTATAAACAAACAGTCAGTCAGTCAGTCAGTCAGTCAGTAGAATTCAATATATAATAAACTACCTGAATTCTTTATCTCCATCTAGTTTGATGAACAATTGTAAAGATATTCCATAATCATTCCTATCAAAGTAAAAAGTTAAACATTTAGCATCTTTAATCAATAGATAAGGTGATATCAATTCGGCTAAGTAGGTCATTGAAGAATAATTATTTTCATATTCAATAACCATAGAAAAATTCCCATTATCTGGAAGAATTGAGCATATAACAACATTTGTATAATAAAGAATTTTGATTTGATAATCAACTATTAATTTCTCTTTTCCAAAAAAACTGCTCGTATAGATTGCTATGTTTACCCTTCAAACTGTAATAACCGCAATTACTATGTTCAAAATTGCAGCTGATATTTTCTTGAATGAATGAAAAGATGAAAATCATTTGAAAAATAGATTTATTAAAAGTCTATAATTTATAACTTACTAGTTTCAATATCGTCAAAAGCAACTATACTAGAATGAAGAGGTTGGTTTCCAAAAGTTACACCGAATAGATAAACTTCTGGAAAATCTAATAAAACAGCCAAATGGAAAATAATCTAAAAGGTATTTACAATATCTTTAAAAAGAATATTCTATTAGCAATACTAATTGAATGATTAATCATAACCTTAAATGGTTTTTTCGGTACTTTTAACGAAAAGTATTTAATATTTTCTGAACTAAAATATAGTTCGTTCAATGAAACAGCAGAATATATTTTACTTTCAATTTCCCACAAAACCTTATCGTTTCAATTATAAACTTTGTTTCAATTTTATAGCAATCATTATTAAATTATTTACCGATAATATTGTATATCTACCAACAAATTGAGCTCCAAAATTCATATATTTGCTTGTATCACTTAATTCAAGACTTTTAAGAATAAGAGTATCATCCTTGAAACAAGGATACACAAATGGGCTTAGGCTAAATTCTCCATTACTTATAGGATGAATTGACCATTTACAAGTCTTTTTTGTCGAATTACTCCAAAATGTCATATCAGGATCAAATTTTAGATGATTATCTTTAACGATAACATAAAAGAAAGTATAATTATCATTCAAATTATATTTTTACTTACAAATTGGACATTTTCCATTATTTATAGTAATATTAATAAATTTTAATTGATCAGTTAAGATATTCGAAGAAGTAACAGCTATTTTAAACTATTCAAAACATTAAATTATGATTGAAAGGCCTATAAATGAATATGAATTAAAAGGATTTTCCTTACCCTATTAACTTTTCTATTTAAATTTAGAAAGATTGTTTTTTCTAGCATTTTACTTTGAAAGAGAAATTCGTTTCTATTAATTAAAAAGAAAAGCTAAAAACCTGGTTAAAACTTTCAATACTATACGATATTTTACACTTACTTTAAAGGTAAAAATATAACTTTAACTGGCATTGCATCTAAACGATTTTGAATTATAGTTAAACTTAAACATTTATTACTACTTTCATTAGAGAATGGCTGAGATAGGAGGCTTGCTGTAAGATTTTCTTTCCAAGTACTTTTAATAAGAAAGCTATTTCCGACTAAAAGAAGATAAGAAATATGTAAATATCTATCAATTATTCATTTTATTCTTTACATTTTCTATCGTAATTTAAATGAATCCATTTGAAATTATTAATTCCATTTATATAATTTTTTGGATAAAATCCGCAATATCCTTTTGAAGTTTTGCAGAATTTCGATTCTATTCCTTAAAAGTCAACTTGATAATCATGTCTATAATATATTATTTATTAATACTGACTTGTTTCCGTAAGATTTCGATCAATAATTGAACAATTATTACGCAATATAATATTTGTTATTCGAATATTAAACCATTCGTTACATCCCTTTCCGATTAGTTTTACCTGTAGAGAAAAGTGTCATACAGAATATAGACATGTGATTATCATTTTTAAACTACGTTGTAATAAGTATTAGCAGGTGCTATCATCGATATATTAGACCAAATATTAGATGGTATAGATATTTTAGCAGAGTTTCTCTTAACTTTCAACTTATCCACTAGATTTATCTGAAAAAAAAATAATAAGACAAACTATTAGGAAATTTCAATACAAACATAAAGTTTGCATTTATCGGATGTATTAATTTTCATAGCTGAAAATGTAATACAATGCGGTTGCTTTTCAAATAGTTTTGTCGTTTCAATGACAGAATAGTAGGATTGTTTCATAAAACCATTGAATTCTAAGTAAAATTCACCTGAAATAGATAAGAAAAATGTTATTATCATAATAAATATTCAACAAGTATATACATTTTTTGTAATTTGAATATTCCATTCTTTCATAATTTGGATGCCAAATGTTTTCAGGAGACATATGGACTTGATATTTGCATAGAAAGTTACTATATTTACAAAATTCTGTATATTGAATAGATTTCAATGATGTATACGATGAATATTTTAATTGAATAAGACAGAAAACGTTCATGATTTATTCTTATATTTTTCATTTCAACGTTTTCTATCTCTAACCTGGTGAATTATTCTCACAATATCCTTCACTTATTGACATTTTATATATAGAGACTTGATGATAAATTTTGGAATTTTCTTCTTCCACATAGGTTAAAACGAATGAAAACTGCAAGAAACAGACAATGTCTTTATGTGTTACGTTAAGTTTCTAGTTAAATTATATACAGTTTACCTGTTCAACGTTCTTTTCAATTGTAACTTTTGAATGGTTAAAACAATGGAAATCATTAATAAAATTTCTGAAATGTTATAAATAAAGTTCAAAATAAACTGGTAATGTTTTAATAATTTCTCACGTAAATTTAATCTGTCCAGCTCTTCGAATTTTTAAGGTAAGTTTCACTTTTCGACTTGGTAAATTCACTTGAAAATTCATACAGCTTTCCTCTTTTAACTTGAATTTTGGAGAATACAAAATTATATCTTTATCTTTATCTTCCGGATGAAAATATCCGTTTAAATTATAACTGGGAATAGTTTTATCGTTATCATCTTCTAAAATTCCCCATAAACTTTTCCTTTCATTTACAGTACTATTTATTGAATAGAAATGAACATTAGGCATTAAAAAATTCAAATTCCTTTCTCTTAAAGTATTAATCGTATTGCAACTTTGATTTCTAAGATAGAGATTATCCAAAGCTAAAAAGCTGTCATTTCCATGAAAGATTTTAACTAATTGTAACATTACCTGTTGAATAAATAAGAAATAATAAAGGAATATTGAATGAATAAACGTTGTATTTATCATACATTTTGACTTTTCTGCCTAATGGGTATATCAATAGTTTTCCAAATTGAATTAAGTGATTTTTTCATGGAAAAAACATGAAAAGTTATTTTTTCGGTACGAATATAGATCTATTTAAAATAAATATTGATATATTTCACAATATAAATGGTAAAACCAACTGAAAATAGTCCATTAAACTGTTGATTTGAGCTGTAAGTGGTATATTTTAATGAAAAACAGCCGTTACTTATTCCAGAACTAGATATATTTATAATAGCCATATCTCCAATATTTCCTTTCTTTAAATTTAGAGAAGCGAATGCTATTGTAAAAGAATTAATAAACAGTAATTGAAATTATCAATATAAATCTTACAATGTTGTTTTCTATATTTAAAACTCTTTCTATCCTGATTGTTCTTATTATGAAAAATCCATTTAAAGACTTTATTTGTTGATGAACTATTCATTTTAATATTTTCAATATCATCTTTAAATGACCAATATTTATCTATTAAAATACGAAACAATCAAGTGGATATGAAGAGAAATTTTCCTAGTTTGACATACTTCCGGGACAAATTGATGATTTAAACGTTATATTATATAATTCAATGAATGAATGAGAAAATCCAAATGATTCTGCTCTGAATTGAATCTTTCGATATAAAATGAAGTTTGTCATCAATATTTTCCAATGTAGAAATGTTACTCTTCTACTTACCTTTGTAAAATTTGTAGATAAATGATAATGAAATGTTGTTAACGAAGGAAAAGAATCATTTGAATTCCTACAGGGAATGAATATAAAAGAAAAATACGCTTTGTTAAGAGAATGATCAAATTAATTATTACATTATCGTATAATTCATAAAATGGCCTTTTAAATTAATAAATAAAACTTTTAAAGATATTGACAAACTACTTTCCGATGTACGAATAGAGAATGAAAAACAATTTTGATGGTTAATTCTCTCTTTAATTTCTGGTAAGATAATATCAGCTGTTCCTCCAAGTATACTTCTCTTTGAAATCTTCATAAAGTATACATCATCTATATTCATAATAGTAATAGTATATTTTACATTTCTAAGAAAGTATCTATGATATTTAATAGAATACAAACTTTGACCGTTTCTCTCAATTATCCATTGGAAAGATGATAAAGGTTCATTAATAAGTTTATAGCAAAAGATATTTGAAATTTTACAATTGTTAGTTTTAACTGTAAAAAAGAAGATGTGTGTTTAGTTAAAAACATAAAAAGTTACTTGACTTGCCTTTAGTAAAAGATTCCTTTTTACATTGTTTCCGTAGAGAAAATGAACCAATCCTTGCATATGATGATATTTTCCCGTAAACGTTGTCTAGAATAACTTTAAATGAAATCTATATGTTTTTTAAATATTGTTGAAAATAAAGCAATTATTCTTAATGGTATATTGATCTATCTTTTAATCAACCTGATAGGTACCAGAGTCCAGACTATATTGACCTTTTACCCATTTCTTACTATTATATAAGTATTTTAAGGGAAAGGTCACTGGACCAAATTGACCATTGGTTTCGTTGAAAATAATCTAAAAAGTAAAGAGTAAAAATGAATGAACAAAGAACATTTAAAAGCTGAAAAACTATAACAAATCTCTTACAAATAATTGTGCTCTTTTTAATTGATAATTGAATGATAAACATTCAAATTGTTTATTACTTGAATACGGAATGTTGATTATTGCTATTTGAGTTTTTGGATAATAATTCTTGGATAGGATAAAATTCTCATTTGTTTTCGAATTATTCATATATCTCCAAGATACTTTCTTATTAGTCGCACTTGAACTAATTGAACATGTTTTCTTGTTGAAAAAACAATTGAATTCTGTGAAAGAATTAATAAAAAGTTTCATTAAACGAACTAGAAGAGAATGGAAGAGAGATATGTTTGTTTAGTAAATAAAATAGGATCATTTTACCTTGAGATTTCATTGATTTTAATTGAGAGCTATAAAAAGGTAATTCTCTTGAATTATTTCCATTCAAGTTGACATTAATTAAATCTAATTAAATTTAATAAGATTAATTATGAAGAGAGTTTTTAGAATTTTAATGAAAATACCTTGTTTTCGTTGAAGTCCCCTCTGATATTTCAGATAGAAACCAGATATCGTTAGTATAAGAAAGAGAATACAGAAAAAGATCAATAATGAAATAACTCCTTTAGATCTTTGATGACCTTTCTGACTTTCATTCAAATTTTCTTCTTCAGTAGTTTTCAATAGATTCTTCTCTTCCTTTAAAAAGAATATTAAGAAATTTTTCTATTGACGCCAATGTCACTGTAATCTAACTATATTGAACGCATTAGAAATGTTACGAGGAAAGGAGGAACGTTTCTTATGAATGGATGATGATAACGTTCATTAAGATAGATAAGCAGTGTATAGAATAGCATTCATAGTTGGTTATACAGTATATACAAGTATACTGTACACACCTCTTTCTATCAGATCTTTTCAGCTCTTTCATTTAAAATTTTGTTTACGACTCGCGTAAAGAAAGTTCTAAATTGAATTCAACTGCTAAAATATAGATATTTACAGATATTTTTACCTGCAAATAACCAGTATTCTCTATCGAATATTCATAATCCATCATCTAGTTAAAAGTGGCTTACTATCTTTAAAGAAAATGATGTTTATCCTTTTATTTTATTGAATTGATGTTAACAAAACTATTGATAGATATATAAATGATTCTAATTCATATTGGATATAGCGCATTCCTTGCGTGTATTTTCTTTGATCAAAAGTATTTCAAATAAGTCAATCAAGCCTATAACGTCTGAAAATGAATTAACTTCACAAAATATTACCAAAGCGATTAAATCGAATAGAATATTTTCAATATTAAACTTATTCAATTCCGTATTCAAAGTCCTAAAACCACGCTAATAGACACGAAGTGTATTTAAATATATATATCTATACCTACATATAAATAAATATATATATATATATATATACTGTATATATATATAGATGTAAGTATATTTGACGGAATTCCTTTATCAACATAAATTACATATTCTGATCTTATGAATCATCTCAATGTATTCTATTGTATAAGGAATGACTTAAATCGAATTGAATAGAAAAAGGAACTCGTTCAATTTATGATAATATTTACTGTACTTTTATAAAAGACAACGATATTTATCAATTCTATATGAATTAATTAGCATTATTTGTTATTTGTCAATAATCTCTTATCTTTTAATAAACAATTGAAAGAAATACGTAATATTTATCATTAGTATCATATTTATTACTATCTTTCTTCTACTTTAGCCATTAGTCTAAAAGGTAGAATAGAAGCTATATATATATATAATATATATAATATTTCTAACAAATCAAGAGAACGATCCTCTTGGGTTGATACTCTTCTATTGAATTTCTTTTGAAATGTTATAAAAAGAGAATCTTTTCCCTGTATTATTAATTAAATGACCTATTAATTAGTCGATTTAAGGAAGTGATAGGAGGAGAAGATCTTCTTTTAATTAGAAGACTGAGCTAAATAGATTTGTTTTATATAAATATATACTGTATATACTGCGTTTGTTATATTATTGGTGAATCATTATGAAAGGTCTATACGTATTGGATGAAAACTTTTGCAACAGTTTTATAGTGTTTAATATTATTTTTCGGTTAGAAAATTCAATACGCAGCATATGAGTAACATATAAATATATATATATATATATATATATATATATATATATATAATCTTTTACTTAAAAGTCATTAAAATTCCCATGATTGAACATTCAAATAGTATTTATTAATTTATACGTTTTAGACGTCATTTCATTCTTTCTATCAACTCAAATTCTATTTTAAAATATAGATAACTTTTATTTGTCTGTATAGAAATAAATATCAACATTGATTTGTGCATTAAAAGTGTATATATACTGTATATATAATTATTTATAATCTTCAAGGTTATAATAATCATATAAATAGAAATAAATAGAATAGATTGTTTAAATATTTAATTAATTATTTGTAAGTAATTCCATTATGTCAATTATTAATAAAAC